AAATCCCTCGTGTCTCAACTGCTTTGTTCCGGAAGTGTCGCTGACAGTCAGGCTTGACCGTGGACTGCAAGGCAAGGGAGTTCTGGGGGTACGCAAGGGATCACCCCTTCCTGGGGTATGCAGGAGATCACCCCTTCCGGCCCTCAGAACCTGCCAGGGGGTGAGGACCATTTCCCAGCTGTCTGGAAGCAGGCAGCACAATGCCCACGGGTGGGGGTGGGCTGGAGCACATTCTGGAGCGTGAGGAGGAGTTTCGAGGGGAGCAGGGCACTCACTCTGCCACTCACCATCAGCACGGAACCATCCAAGTCATCTGGATGCAGCACACAGGTTGGACTTCACTGGGAAAACTTGATGCTCCGCACCTCCAAACACAAACCCGACACGACTCACGACACACAAGACAAGGTTCAGGGAGAATCACCACATTTGCAGGGAAGGGCAGGATGGAGGCACCTGGCATTTCCACTCTGAGGATGAGAGCGCAATCTGGTGTCAGAGAAGCGATGGGATTCCCAAGGGAGAAAGGGAGCAGGGGATGAGAGCCAGGAAGGAGGGGAGGTGAGCAGAAGACCAGGAGCGGAGCTGGACCCAGGCTCAGGCTGTGGGGACTGGGGAAGGAGAGACGGAAGCCTGTGATGCAGGGAGAGGCAGCCAGTCCTTGCAAGGCTGCTGGCTTCAGCAGTGGGAAGCTGCACAAGCCAGCCCTGGAGCGGTACACACCGAACCCAGTAGGAAAGGCGGTGTGCGCTTGATGCATCTTGGAGAGTCACATCTTGAGAGAGCCTGTTGTTAGGACTGAGTCTGTCCAGGGACGGGGGAAGAAGGGGCAGTTCCGGTGTGGGGACGCACAGGACATTTTGCCAGGTAATTGAGTATAAATTAGTCATAGGAAAGGACTGAAGGACCCCGCAGAGAATCTCAGATGGCAGGGAGTGGGCTTAGGTGAAGGTGGAAAATGATCTCCAAGCAGATGGACGCTGAAAACAGGCCAGGGTAACCATGCTTGCTGGGCAGGCCTGCTCAGCCGGTGTCCGACCACCCAAGTCTCGCCTCCAGCTGGTTATTTTGAAGAGGGAGTCTCACTGATTTTTCTGCCCAGATTGGCTTTGAACTGGGATCCTCCGGACCTCAGCCTCCTGAGTCTTCAGGATGACCGGTGTGAACCTCTGGTACCTGGCCTGTTCCCTGTTTATACAGCTGTGGCAGGTGAGGAGTCATCTGCTTCCCATCACTTCTAAAACATAAACCTCTTAAACCTCTGTTCTCTCAGATCACACTCTCCTGCTGCCCAAGGCTGGCTGTGATGGTCGGTGGCTGGTCCCCACCAGGCAATGGTCGTATAGTGTCTGAGAGGACTCACAGATGGAGGTGAGCTCCAGACATGTGGTTGGAAGGAGGAGAGCTTGGCCTCACCAGAAAGTCTGCACTGGCTCACCACAGCGTCCTCCACAGCCAGGCCCAGGCAGGTTGTGACACTGAGGGGAGAGTGGACAAGGGCAGCGTGGAGCGTGCTCATCATGGCTGGTGCCAAGCCTGGGGACTGGGGCAGGAGGCCCCGTGGCTCACTGGGTGAAGGGTGGACAAGGACGGCATGGAGCATGCCCGTCATGACTGGTGACCGGCCTGGGACCAGCACTGGTGACCAGCACTGGGACCAGCTGGTGACCAGCACTGGGTGGCCACAGTGAAGGGGGGCTGGCGGAGGTTGTGCTGGTGAAACAAGACACCCACCTGCCGCGGACCGGCTCTGTCGGGACGACGGAGGACACCTAGGGGAGGAACCTGGAATGGGGGGAGATGGCAAACAGACAACCCACACACAAGAGGAGTGGATGCTGAGTGCGATTTAATGCAGAGGATGACAAGCTTTTATAGCAAGAGTCTCCATAAGAAAGGGCAAAAGGTTACACCATCTTGCTGCAGGGCTTCATGCTTGGGTGTCACCAGCTGGTCGCCTGATAGGCACTTGTTTCCGGCTTATTTCTAAGAAATACAATGGGTTCCGATGTTTGTCACCAATTAACCATTACCTAATTTTTTTTAAATTTAATTTAATTTTATTTGTGAACATACTGTACAGAGGGGTTACAATTACATGGGCAGGATAATGCGTACATTTCTTACCAAGCATTGCAGCCTCCTCCTTTGGTTTACCCTTCACATCCCTTCCCAGCCTCCCCCCTCCCCCCCAATCCCAATCCTTCTCCTTCCCTCCCTTCCCCCCCCCCTCAGACCCCCCCCCCCCCCGACCGACCCGTTTTGGACATGACAACTTGTACTTCTCATTGTTGCAACAGGTCCACCTGTATCCTTAAACAACTGGTTTTTCCCCATCTCCTCCACAAGTTATACTGACATCAAATATAGTGAAAGCAGGGGTTATACTGTGGGGGAGGGACATACAAAGCAACAAAGAGATAATCTTATAAATGTGTTAGAAACACATGCATGAAAGAAAAAAATATTAAAATACATATCTAAGGGTTCATTTTCCTGACATCACATTATCTGACGTTTTCCGCTTGACTCATACATATACTAGATATTGCAAATAAGGGAAACCATGGGATCTATGTTTCTTTGGGCCTGGCTTACTTCACTTAATATAATTTTTTCCAAGTTTTTTCATTTCCTAACAAATGGGGCAATGTCATTCTTTCTGATGGAGGCATAGAATTCCATTGTGTATATATACCACATTTTCTTGATCCATTCATCTACTGAGGGGCATCTGGGTTGGTTCCATATCTTAGCTATGGTAAATAATGCTGCAATACCATTACCTATTTTTATAGAGGCCTTAACTGTCCCATAAGATCTTTCCTGTTTCTTCCTTAATAGTAAGTGCCATGGAGGCCTAGATCTAGCAAGTCTCTTAGTAAACAAAAGAGAGTAATAGGAAGTTCTTTCTCCTAAGTAGTTATCTCAGCAATTGCCATACATTCTTTCTGTTCTAGCCGTGCCTACAGCTTCTTGTAAATCTCTTACAAATAATTCCTTCTGCTGAAGTGACTTCATGAAACCCCCAATACTTTTATATTTACTTATGACTTGTCTACTAGCCTCCATAAGAGGGGCTTTCAGGGTAGCACTTAACTCTGGTGAGTTAGTCATATTTTTAAGACACTCATCAGATATTGGAGTCGTCAACACTCTTAAGAAAGAGCTTTGAATAAGGGAACGTTGAGCATGAGTAAGCACAATAAGCAGCAGAAACAGTAAAAGATTAATAGGCACTCTTATACAATGAAGAAAAGAAAGGCAGAAACACATCTTTCCCAGGGGTTTGCCAGCCTTTCCAGGAATAGGCCTCTATAGAAGCCCTATTCTCTGAGGTAGACTTCGGTGAAGTCCCAATACTCAGAGATAGGTCTCTGTAAAGCCCCATACTCAGAGATGGGTCTCTGAAGCCCCATTCTCAGGTCTGAAAGCTGGTTTCCCATGCTAAGCAGACTCTACTGGAGTAGGCGTGGCACCCACCCACCCACCAGAGGGCCGTATTCAGAATCCACCGGGACCAAAGCATTTAACACATAGAAGCAGAGTCACCATGATCCACAGGACCAGTCAGCAGTGCCTCTCCTCATGACCATCCACGGAGAGGGGACACAGATCACCTCACTTCTGCTCATCACCATCCACGGACACACAGATCACCTCGCCTCTCATCATTACCATCCACAGAACACAGATCACCTCACCTCTGCTCATCACCATCCAGTTACACAGATCACCTCACCTCTGCTCATCACCATCCACAGAACACAGATCACCTCACCTCTGCTCATCACCATCCACAGAACACAGATCACCTCACCTCTGCTCACCACCATCCACGGATACACAGATCACCTCACCTCTGCTCATCACCATCCACAGAACACAGATCACCTCACCTCTGCTCATCACCATCCACAGAACACAGATCACCTCACCTCTGCTCATCACCATCCACAGAACACAGATCACCTCACCTCTCCTCATCACCATCCATGGGGACACAGATCACCTCACCTCTCCTCATCACCATCCACAGAACACAGATCACCTCACCTCTGCTCATCACCATCCACAGAACACAGATCACCTCACCTCTGCTCATCACCATTCACAGAACACAGATCATCTCACCTCTGCTCATCACCATCCACAGAACACAGATCACCTCACCTCTGCTCATCACCATCCACAGATACACAGATCACCTCACCTCTGCTCATCACCATCCACAGAACACAGATCACCTCACCTCTGCTCATCACCATCCACAGAACACAGATCACCTCACCTCTGCTCATCACCATCCACAGATACACAGATCACCTCACCTCTGCTCATCACCATCCACAGAACACAGATCACCTCACCTCTGCTCATCATCATGCACAGAACACAGATCACCTCACCTCTGCTCATCACCATCCACAGATACACAGATCACCTCACCTCTGCTCATCACCATTCACTGGACACAGATCACCTCACCTCTGCTCATCACCATCCACGGGGACACAGATCACCTCACCTCTGCTCATCACCATCCACGGATACACAGATCACCTCACCTCTGCTCATCACCATCCACAGTTACACAGATCACCTCACCTCTCATCATTACCATCCACGGGGACACAGATCACCCCACCTCTTCCTCGGTACCCTGGCAGCCCCTCTCCCAAAAGCTACCCCTGAGCTCTCGCCATCCTGCCTTGAGCCGTGGACTGCCCCTGGTCTGGGGCCTGGCTGGCTGCCCATTCCCCATCCAGCAGGGGAAGCTCGGCCGGCTCCTGTTTCAGGAACCCCAGTAAATGAGTAACTGGAGCGGTACCAGCTCATCTTTCCCATGGGCTGTCCACCGCCAGGGTTTCCTGGAAGGGTCAGTGTGAAGGTCACCTGGTCTCCATCTGTCCTGCCAAGTTGGCTGCTTGTGACCCCCAGCCTCCCCCCCAACCAGGCTGTGTACAGAGCGTCCTGGGAACAGCTCCATCTCTCACCGCTCGGGTATAAAGAGGCCCAAGCAGCCTGCCAGGGACAGTCGCCTCTGCCGGGCAGAGTGGAAGGTAAGCAGAGCCGTTCCCAGAGGGGGCGACGTGGAGAGCAGGGGCGCGGGGGCAGGGCAGTGTGGAGAGAGCACCCGCAGGTGGATGAGCTGCTGCCGGGTGAGACGGGACTACACGCAGAGGGGTGCGAGGAGTTGGGGGGGGCTGGGACCTCGTTGAGGTGAACTGGGGTTGGGGCTGATCAGGAGAGCAAAGAGCCGCCTCACCTGGACGCAGCCTCATCTCATGGCTGCAGCTGGCACACTTGGGCAGCATCTACCTGTGGGTCAGCCAAGTGGAGGCTGGACCCGCGCACCTGCCCACCCTGATGGTGGGTACCTCAACCCCATTTAGAGCTGCAGAGGCACGCAGGCCCCTCTGCACAGGAGGGTCAGGAGGAGGCACAGGGTCTGTCGGCTCCATTTCCATATCACGTGGCTCTTCATGAGAACAGCGAACTGAGCCAGATGCGTGGATAGCAGGGAGAGGTGGTGGCAGGTCAGAGGTCAAAGGTCCTTTGGCAGTAAGTGACCAGAGCAGAAAAGAGCTCACCCTGCGCTTCAGCACCACACGCCGTGTGCACCAGCAGCCGAATGCCTGGTGCACACCCAGCGACCCCTCCCCCCGCCCCAGCCCCCAGACTGGGCATGGGAGGCTGGCAGCCTGGTCAAGAGGAGGTTTTCTTGGCTCTTGGTCCTGGAGGTTCCAGGTCATGCTCAGATTAGGGGGCCAGTGCTTTGGCTCCTGATGGGGGTATCAGATGGGAGTAAGGGGAAGCGTGGCAGAGCACGCTGTCCACTGTGCAGCCAAGGATGAGGAGGAAGAGAGTAGGGTCCCACAATCACCTCAGGGCCTGTGTCCTGTGACTCCGGAGCCTCCTCTCAGTCCTACCACCCCAAGGGGTCACTGCAGCCCTGTGGCTTCACCGGGGCCAGGTTTCTAGTACACGTACCTTTGGGCTTGTCCGTCCAGCACAGGACAAGATGGCAGCCACACGGGTGGGTTGAGGCAGGGACATGTAGGTGTTGGGGTGACCTTGAGGAAACGCTGTGGAGCCAGCAGTGGCCGATGACACATGAAGAGGGGACAGGAAGGCTAATGAGCACTGTGCCAAGATAGACCATGTCGTCAGACAATCAATAGGACAAAGGCCACCCACCTGGTTGAGAGGCGTGAGACAGAGCATGTTCATGCAGCCAGGTCTGGAACTTCCTTCCAGGGCCCCAGTCTGTGTGCTGGGAGGCAGGAGTTGAGCTGAGGTTCAGACATGGAGGGCCTTGGGCTTGTCTGTCTACTCCATCCATGGTGCAGCAGCCATTGAAAATAACCTGTTGTCAGCTTACGTGAGGGAAAGGAGGCACGGCTGCATGCCGACTCCCGGGTCACCCACCAGGGCTGAGCATCGTGGCTGAGCATCTACAAAGCCCTGCTCTTCGGAATGGGGCAAAGACAGCCAAGCATCACAGGGAGATTTACTCTGCCTGAGCCGCCATGAAGAACACCACATCCTGGGCTGACAAGCCATTGTCCCAGCCCAGCCCCCATGGCCAAGGTCAAGGTTAAGGCCAGGGTCAGGGCACATGGATGCATCCTCTCACTGGCCATCCTCTTTTTGTCTGTGTCCCCCAGGACCTTAGCCCTTTTCTCCCTGGGCTCCTTAGCCAGCTGCGGGCGTTCCTCTGTGTCCCTGGTCTTATAGGAAGCCTAGCTGGTTTGCTATAGGGACCCATTGTACTTTAATCCTTTCTCTAAAGATTCATCCCCAAAGATGGTCACATCCTGAGGCTCAGGGGTAAGTGTGACCACACAGGCTTCACACCGGGGGTAAGTGTGACCACACAGGCTTCACACCGGGGGTAAGTGTGACCACACAGGCTTCACACCAGGAGTAAGTGTGACCACACAGGCTTCAGGCCGGGGTGAGCATGACCACACAGGCTTCAGGGCGCTTGGACTGTAACTGTGCACGTTGCACCTGGCTTCCAGATGCTCCCCAAGGAGCTTTAAGCCCAGTGCTTCTTGCATTGGAGACAGGGCTGTTCCTGGGCTTCCAGGAGGCTGAGGGGGCAGGTCAGGCTGGAGGTCACCTGATGATTATTACATAACTGTCACTGTTCACGAAATTTCGTTCCAGGCACCAAGAAGTGAGCCAAGCCCCTGATCGGAGATGGCACCCACCACCGGAGGTCTGAAGGCCATCACCCTGTTCCTCCTCGCCTGGACCGGCCTGGTGGCTGGGGACCGGATTTACGTGCACCCCTTCCACTTCCTCTTCTACAGCAAGAGCAGCTGCGACCAGCTGAAGTCCAGTGCGGAGACAGCCGCAGAGCCCACCTTCACACCCGCGCCGATCCAGGCCAAGACCCCTCCCCTGAATGAGGCACACCTGCGCGACCAGCTGCTGATGGCCGCTGGGAAGCTGGAGGCCGAGGAGAAGCTTCGGGCTGGGGAGGTCGGGATGATGGCCAACTTCATGGGCTTCCGCATGTACAAGATGCTGAGCGAGGTGGGAGGCACCTCCCACGGGGCTGTCCTGTCCCCGACGGCTCTCTTCGGCACCCTGGCCTCTTTCTACCTGGGCTCCACTGACCCCACAGCCAGCCAGCTGCAGGCCTTCCTGGGCGTCCCGGGCAAGGACCAGGACTGCACCTCCCGGCTGGATGGGCACAAGGTCCTCTCCGCCCTGCAGGCCATCCAAGGCCTGCTGGTGGCCCAGGGTGAGGCCAGTGGCCAGGCGCGCCTGCTGCTGTCCACCGTGGTAGGCCTGTTCATGGCCCCCGGGCTGCAGCTGAAGCAGCCATTCGTGAAGGGTCTGGCTCCTTTTGCCCCTGTGGTACTCCCACGCTCCCTGGACTTGTCCAGCCCACGTGTGGCTGCTGAGAAGATTCGTCAGTTCATGCAAGCCGTGACAGGGTGGAAGATGAACGGGCTCCCGGCAGGGGTCAGCGCAGACAGCACAATGCTGTTCAACACCTATGTCCACTTCCAAGGTGAGCCGTGCCCTCTGGTCAGTCCTGGCCCCAGCCTGCGCAGAAGGAGGCATCTGTCCTGGGTTTCAAGGTGGCCTGGGAGGAGTCTGTCTGAGCCTGGGGCTGGGCTGGGCTGGACCTGGGGCTGAACCTGGGGCCAGGGCTGGGCAGCCATGCACAGAACCTGGAGTCTTCCCTCTTGGAGGAGGGTCTCCTACCCACCCACTGCCCTACTGTGTGCATCCCGGGCACTGCCTTCATTGGACCTTCTGATCCATGGAGATAGGGGGAGTGAGCATGGAGCAAGTGGCTGCCTCAGTTTCCACCCAGAGGGACCTTGCTCCTTTCTGCCATTCATCTGTCCACCTGTGAGCATAGCCAACGGAGCAGAGGGGAGCTTTAGGTCCTCTTAGCAATGGCGTCCTTTTAAATGACCCAGGACAGTTGAGTGTCAGTGGCTGAGGCCAGAGGCAATGGTCCCAGGACGCCCTACGCCCAGAACTCAACGTCCCCTGAACTCTGGTGGCCCTCACAGGTCCTATGACATCATGGGGGAATTGCTCAACCAACAGGGCTGTGGGCTGACATCAGGAGGGCGGCGGGCTTGGGGCTAGCTGCCTGCTTCTGGTCCCAGAAGCCTTCTGAGGGCCAGCGGCACCGCAGAGGGGCAGCTTGGCGGGCAGAGGTGTGCTGGGGGCAGCCGTGTGCTGCTGGCAGCTGGGCGCCAGGTATGGTTTAAAAGCTGTCGGTGAGGGAGTCAAACCAGCATGGTCCAGTAGCTTATTTAAAGGAGAGATAAACATTAGGAAAGGCGGCGACAGCAAAGGCCTGTGGAGAACGTGGGGTTGACAGAGCTCCACGCCGCCCAGGGCCGAGGGCAGCCGGTCTCACATGTGAGACTTGTGGAGCACTCAGTTAGGTATTCAGGAGGAAGGTCTGTGAACACTGGGGGTCTGTGTGATGTGGGGGGCTAGGGAAGAGGCCCTCGGCACCGGCCTGTCCCCAGCTGCTGCCTGCCTGGCACTGACCGCGGGTCTCTGTCTCCGTCAGGGAGGCTGAAGGGGTTCTCCCTGCTGGCCGAGCCCCAGGAGTTCTGGGTGGACAACAGCACACGGGTGTCAGTCCGCATGCTGTCCGGCTCTGGCACCTTCCAGCACTGGCATGACCCCCAGAACAACCTCTCCATGACTAGTGTGCCCCTGGGTGAGAATGCATCCCTGCTGCTCCTCAAGCCTGGCTGTGCCTCTGAGCTGGACAGGGTACAGGCCCTTGCTTTCCACCAGGACCTCTTCATCTGGATGAAGAATGCGTCTCCCAGGTAGGCACCTGAGAGGGGGTGGAGGGGGCCTTTACCCAGGGTCGAGAAGGCAAGATGGCATCAGGCTGGCCAGGGACTGGGCGGCCCACGGATACCCAGCCTTCTACGGAGCTGGGTCTCGCGGGGGAAGCTGCAGGTGGGGCGCAGCCCCCTCCGAGAGCCCTCTGATGCACACCGCACACCCAGGGCATCTTGGTCCTGGGGGAATCGGACTCCTCTGAGTCCTGGGGGCTTTTAATTGGAAACTGACTGATGTCCGGGGCCGGGGCAGACAGCGGGGCTTGCTTCTAGCTGTGACAGAAGCAAAGCCATTTCCTCCATACACACTGACCTGGGTTGGGCAGCAGTCCAGACAATCGGCTCAGAAAGCTCCCTCTGGATGGCACAAAGGGACATGGGCATGCCCTCATATTGACTCTGGCTTTTCAAAGTGTGTGTGCATGAGTGCATGTGTGTGTGTGAATAATCACAAACATAGAGTTTGCCACCTTAACTACTTTCTCCTTGTGATGCTGGGGTGGAACCCGGCACCCATGTGCTGGCCGCGTCCACCGGGGCCCCCCCTCCCACTCCTGTTTTGGGGTGAGCGTGCAGAGGCCCTGCCATCACCGTGCGCTGCAGCCATCACCATCCATCTCCAGAACATTCCCTTCCTGCAGAGCTGGGACGGCCCCCTGGTAGCTCTGACATCCAGCCCCCAGACAGAAAGCAGCCTCAGAGTCTTAGGTTTACCTGGTGGTCCACACACGCTTTTGCTGTTCCCTCGGCTGAATCACACTCTCCCTGGCCACCATTTGTCTCCCATGGTCCCGTGGTGCCTCTCAGCTAATGTGACCAGGGTGGCCATGGACATGGCTTAGATTCTCTCTCAGGCTGGTGGTGTCCGGGACCCCCATACAGCTCTGGGTGAGGGCGTGGACTGGCTGGTGTCCAGCACCACCTCCCCTGCAGCGCAGCCCAGCCAGAGGCCCACAGCACTCAGTGCCACACAGGCTGTTCTAGACAGCACTACTGCTTTTAGCCTCCACTGCAGCCAGACCCCTGGCTCCCAGCCCTCAGCCCCTCAGTCTTCCCAGCCCCCCAGCCCCCCAGTCCCCCAGTCCTCCCCAGCCCCCCAACCTCACAGCCCCTCCTTCAGTCCTCCAGCCCCCTACCCCCCCAGCCTTCCAACCCCTCCCTCAGTCCTCCCGGCCTCCTGGCTGGGGACAAAGGCAAACTGCCGGCATAATCACCAAGGTCTGCACCTTCGGTCTTCATGTCCACCAAAACACTAACAAGCCGAAGGTGTCATTGCCTTGCTGCAGGGCACATGCCCTGGCTGAGTGAGGCCTGGGGCAGCCCCATCTGGGGGACAGGAGTGGGGAGGACAGGACAGGCCTGCTTATGGGGTCCTTGCCATGTGCTGAGACCTCCAACTGATCTGTCCCCAGGACCCTCCACCTGACCCTGCCCCAGCTGGAGCTGCGAGGAGCCTACGACCTGCAGGCCCTGCTGGCTCAGGCCAAGCTGCCCACCCTGCTGGGCGCCCAGGCGGCCTTGGGCAGGATCAGTGACAGCGGCATCAGAGTGGGAGAGGTTGGTGCTCACTCCGGCTAGATCCACAGGGAGGGGACGGTGAATGCTGGGAGGATGTGGGTGGATCCCACAGGGCCGGAGGGAGAGAGCAGGAATGTGGGAGCCAGTGTTTTCTGCAGGGTCAGAGAGGGACAGTGAGGGGCAGTGAAGGACAGTGAGGGTCAGTAAAGGTCATTGAGGGCCATCGAGAGACAGCAAGGGACAACAGCTTCTAGCAGCTCTGCTCTGCCCCTTTGTGCATCAGGCTTTGTGTCTGGTGCTGCCCAGCCTGGCCTAGTGCTGCGTCTTCCTTACATGCATAGGGCTGGAACCAGGAGGGCAGGGGTCCTTCTCCTGATAGCACTGCTGTTGGTGAGGTACTCAGAGCCAGACACTGTCCTAGCGCAGGGACAGAGAACCTGGAGGCACACCCGATGCCATTCCAGACACTGCTAGTGCCAGGGCAAGGCGTGGGTCTGCTGTGTTAATGCCGCAACTCCTGGTAGGCCAGTGGGAGCCCTGCCGGGACGGCACCGATGCAGGTGGAGATGGGTGTGGGGTGCGTTGGGTGGGCGCTGGCGTGGGCCTGGGTGCTGGTCTTTGGCGTGTGCAGTGCACCTCCCTGGGGACAGCACAGGTGTGGATGCACAGGCATCCTGCCCTTCCTCGTGCCCTGCAGAGACCTACGTCCCATTTTGCAGGTTCTGAACAGTGTTCTCTTCGAGCTCAAAGCCGACGAGGGAGAGCAGCCCACCGAGTCTGCCCCGCAGTCGGAAATGACGGAGGCCCTGGAGGTGACCTTAAACAGCCCGTTCCTGTTCGCCATCCACGAGCGAGATTCTGGGGCGCTGCACTTCCTGGGCCGCGTGGACAACCCCCGAGCATAGCCTGAGATCTGGCAGCAAGGGGGGCGGGGCGCACATCGAGGGCTTGGGCCAGGCTGTGGAGACTGGGGCCAGCAACGTAAAGCAACGGGATAGGCAGCCATGGTTACCACCAGCATCCTCCTGGCCTCCTGACCAGCACTGGCTGGCAAGTGGCCGTCTCTCCTTGGTGACCGCTGGGAGAGCGAGCGGCAGGAGTCATTGGTTTGCTTGGAGTGGGGTGGGAGCTGGGAGTTGGCACTTGCACAAGCCTGCTGCTCTGCGAGGTGTGAACAGACCGACTTGTTTGTGAAGCCAGGAGGCATTCCCTTTTTAACCAAGAGCAGACATGAGGTTTTAAAATTAAAATACATGTTGTTCCCTTGCCTTGGCTCTGAGTACTTCGCCGGAGTGTGAGACTGTGCCCTTCGTGTGGTCCCACATCTCCCTCAGATCTCTTTCACACAATGCCCCTCACTTTTGAAAAATGGTTACAAAAGCACCAGGGTCTAAATTTACGCTCGACTGTGATATTGTGGCTGGTTATCCTTTGTGTTCTTAACAAGTGCCTTGCAAGAGGAAGCCAGAAATGGCTAAGCAATGGAACAGACATGCGCAGTTGAGCTGCCAGATGGTACAAAGCGTCCTGAGGTTCTTGGTGGAAAACCCAGCCAAGCTGGTCACACAGGGAGGTGTGAGTGTGCTGCCCTTTCGGATGTTTCCACCGTGTGCGGGAGAAGTGGGGGTGGTGGTGGGGGCTGGGCCAGGTCTCTGGGCTTAGACCCACAGCTTCCAGGTCTGGAGCTGGAGCACCGGCAGGCCAAGTGCTGGTTACTCACATACACAAACAAGACAGCATGGCTCTGCCACAGCATTTGCTTAAAATGGAGCAAAGCCCTGTTTCATGAAATGGAGCCACTCTGGGAAAGGTGCAGCCTGAAAACTGTGTAATGCAGAGCCATTCTCACAGGGTGCCTCCTGCTGCCCTCACAGGCTACCCTGAGTGCTCCACAGCGGCTACTAGCTGGGGCGTCTGCTCTGGCCTCCCTCCTCGACCCCCCCATGGCCACCTTGCTGCCCAGTGTACTCAGACCACCAACAGAGCACCCCATGGCCCCTCCCAGGCTTCTCACCCGGTCCTGGAGTGTCCACGACTTCACAGGCCGCCCTGCACACTGGTCTCAACACTTCAGGAGCAGATCTAAGTGCTGCTGCTGCCTGCTTTAGTGAGCACTGCTGAGCAGGGGCTGGTGGGAGGGGCCAGGGAAGTGCTAGGGCTCTGCTGGCTGCCCCTAGGACAGGGCTGGCACCATCCATGCTGGCCAGCGGGGGTGACAGGGCCCTCTGGCCCCAGCAGGTTTCTTTCTCCCTGCCAGCTTGCACCTGGGCTCACCATAGCTGGCTGCCCAGACCCGGGCCTCCCCAGTGGGCAAAGTTGAGCCCTCCAATGGACTCGCTTGCAGAAACGCTGCTCCCAACCCACAGCACACTACAGCCAGGCTCTGCTTTGTGTCATGGCTGCTGTGAAACAGGAGTCCTGCTGCCCACCAAGTGTGCCATTGGCTGGACTGGTCGGGACCCAGCGCCATGCCGCTTGGGGTCCTGCAGCTCCCCAGCTGACTTGGCAGGTGCCAAGTCTCTTGGGATAGCTGAAGCATCAGGACCAGAATGTGCCCGACTCTCTGCTCAAGTGAGGCTCGGGACCCAGGCAGGCTAGGTTCCCAGGAGCTCCCAGGCCAGTGTCTGCACGGAAAGGCTGAGGCCTGGGAGAACATGCTAACACTGGGGACTTGCTTTATTAAAAGGAGCTCAGCCAGCCCTGGCAGTCAGGATCCATGTTAGTCTATGTCACCAACTAGAAGCACAGTTCCTTTCCTTTTGGTCATGGGTCTTGAACTCTGGATGTAGGTGCTGTCCCTCAGCTCTTCAGCTCAAGGTAAGCGCTTTACCACTTGAGCCACAGTACCACTTCGGTTTTTTGGTGGTTAATTGGAGACAAGAGTCTCACAGACTTTGACTTTCTTGCCGGGCTTTGAACCATGATCCTCAGGTCTCAGCCTCCTGAGTAGCTGGGATTGGAGCTCACCTCACCTCGGCCTCTAAGTGTGGATGAAGGGCATGGCCACCTCATGTGGCTCAGCCGTGGCTGGGGGGGGAGTGTGTGGGGTCCTTACCAGCCACAGCATGCACCTTCCCACAGCTGGCAAACACCAGAGGAGTGTTGTGCACAAGCAGCAGAAACACTGCCAACCAGGAGCTCACCAGAGCTGCAGGTGGCAGACCTCCAGAGCTGACAGATGATGGAGAGGACCCCGTGTTCCACACTGCCCCAGAGCTGTCAGATGGAGAGGACCCCACATTCCATTGTCCCGCAGAGCTGTTAGATGGAGAGGACCCCACATCCCACACTGCCCCAGAGCTATCAGATGGAGGACCCCACATTTCACACTGCCCCAGAGCTGTCAGATGGAGAGGACCCCACATCCCACACTGCCCCAGAGCTGTCAGATGGAGGACCCCACATTCCACACTGCCCCAGAGCTGTCAGATGATGGAAGGGACCCTGTGTTCCACACTGCCCCCAGAGCTGTCAGATGACGGAGAGGACCCTGTGCTCCACACTGCCCCTAGGGGCCTGAGAGCCATCTCCACTGGATTTGGCCCTCAGGACCACAGCAACTTGTAAGGTGACCAGGGAAATGGGCGTGGGTACTCTGCCACAGACCCGGGAGAGGCCGGCTTGATCCCTGATGACCACCTTCTTACAAGGAAGTGAGGAGCTGAGAACTTTCTGGAGTCTGTGTGCTGAAGTTGAAAAGTATAGTTTTACAGCAGGAAAGCACTTCATCTCTATCACTTTACTCAAAAAAGTGATACTCATGAGCAACACAAATTCAGAGTGGTTCTGAAACTTGTTGGCAGGCCAAGAAGCAGGTGGCCGCATGGTGGGTTCCCATGAGAGGCAAGCCTGAAGGTGACCCTTGAGTCGGGGCCAGGCCTGAGGTGGAGGGGTCCGCGTTGTGGACCGCTGACTTGTCTGTGCTGGGAGCTGGGGAAGACTGGCAGGCAGCAGACTGGTTTAAACTCACTAGTGACTCAGCGACCTCCTTTGTTCCTTCTGTAGAATGGACAATGCTGAATCGGGGGCTGTGAACTGCCCCCTCCCCTACTCTGAAGCCAGTGAGGAGGCAGAGCCGCTGGGTGCAAGGGAACCAAGCAGCCACCCGGAGGCCCTCACAGCTCTGCTTTCCTCCTGGGGCTCTGGAAGGCGCCTCGGTAGCTGCTCATACCGAACTCCCACTGTCACCGGGGGGCACTGGCATGAGGGACGCACCCGTGCTGAACGCACAGAAGGCACACATCTCTTTTATTTAGGAAATGCAGCTGCCTGCTGGGCTGACTCCCAGGGACGCACAGGGTCTGAAGTGCCATTCCTCTGCACTGACTGAGACAGGATGTGAGAAGGGGGCACAGCAACCTTTTGGACACAGGGGTGACGCTGCTCCTTACACTGTGGCTGTGTGCCCACATCCCGCAGGCACCTCTCCGCCACCAGCACTTTCTTGTACTTGGATCACATTTATTTAATCCTACTGCAGAAATCAGCTCTTCCACACTGAGATTTACAATAAAAATAATTTGTCTGTAAACTATAGTAAAAAGTTTTAAATGTCTTAAAAACTACCTTCCATACAATGGAAAAAGGCTTCTGGCTCTTTCTACGTGAAAGAAGACCCCCCTCGACGCTGGGAGGGCCTTGGGCAGCGGGGGTGAGAGGACGCTCTCCCGACGCTCCAGGCGCTAAGGCTGTTCTCCAGCTGCCTGGTCCTTGGCAGCCAGGACGAGCTCCGCGAGGGCCGGGAAGCTCTCAATGTCACCAGTTTGCAGGCCCAGCTTTTGTATCTGCAAAAGCCAGGAGAATAAATGATGTTACTGCAATAAAGCCAAAATGCAAATAAAGACCCTTGTTACAAACAACAGAAGGATCTTCCTACCCTCTACCAAATGAGAGAGAGTTCTTTTTGTCAAACTTTATACACCCTAAGAAATCAGTATAATTTATCCATCAAATAAGACTCTTGACAAGCTCCCCTCTGTGGACTTAAAAGGCTAGAAAATTCACCTTAAAAGAAATCTCAATGACCCATTGTGTCAGCTCTGGCCTGTGCTCTCATTTTCTTGGCTCATTACCAGCCATCTTTGGTTAGACCTGATGGGCTTTAGCAGGCCGACACAGTGTTGTGGGTGACACTGGCAACCAGCACCTGGCACCCAGTGCCCTACTTGTTTAAATACAGCATACGTGCTGCTGCTCCAGCCCAAGGTCAGCCTGGCTGCAGAACAAATGTTCCTACTTAAAAGACTTGCTCTTCACTTATGAAATAAAGGAACATGGAAACAGATGTCTGAAGGTTATATGTCTAGATTCACCCACAGCAGAGGATTGAGAATTCCAGAGATGACCCTGACAGGTAAAAGCCAGACCTCAGAAGCTACAACTGTATCAGTGATTTTACCACACGGTTCTTTTTCTCTGCCAAAGGGTTTCCTCGAACATTTAACTGCTGCCTGGAAACCTGGCAGTCTCCCTCAGCTGGACGTTTCAGGACATGAACTCCTGGTGGATGGAGCTGCACACTGAATATGCCACATGCCCTAACCCTGAAGTCTGTTACAGAAACGCTGAAGGCTCAGAAGGGAAGCGAAGCAGCCCTGCACACCCCACCCTCCTGCTACATGTGGGGAAGGCCTCATTTCCTATTCCCCCGAGCCAAACCAGGATGGAGGCCTGCTGCCACCTCTGCAGTGGGGGAGCCAAGCTGCCACCAGCACAGGACTAACTTGCTGGATGCTGAAGGGTGCTCTTGGCATTCATTATGCTCGTGTCCTTCCTCCTGACCTCTAATCCTTGGTCCTCGGGGTGATCTGGGCCCTACTTGCTTCCTATAATACTTGATAAGTAGCTGCTGACGGATGGCAGCATTATCTTGTGGCTCAAAGGAGCCATCTTGTGGCTGAGGCTTCAGGCCTCTGCCAGTACCTGTTCTCCAAGGCCCTCCATGTCTAGTACCAGCTTTCCCAGTCCCTCTGCATCCAGTACCTGCTCTCCCAGCCCCCACGTCCACTACCTGCTCTCCCAGGCCTCCACTTCCAGTACCTGCTCTCCCAGCCCCCACGTCCAGTACCAGCTCTCCCAGGCCTCCCACATCCAGTTCCTGCTCTCCCAGCCTCCCACATCCAGTACCTGCTCTCCCAGGCCTCCCACGTCCAGTACCTGCTCTCCCAGGCCTCCCACATCCAGTACCAGCTCTCCCAGCCTCCCATGTCCAGTACTGTTCTCCCAGTCCCTCCACGTCCAGTACCTGCTCTCCCAGGCCTCCCACATCCAGTACCTGCTCTCCCAGGCCTCCCACATCCAGTACCTGCTCTCCCAGGCCTCCCACATCCAGTACCAGCTCTCCCAGTCCTCCATGTCCAGTACCTGCTCTCCCAGTCCCTCCACATCCAGAGCCAGCTGCAGCCGGATCTTGTCGTCATCGCTCATACCACCACTGGGACCCGCAGGGCTGGTGGCAGCGGATCTCCGAGCTTGCTTCAGCCTCTTCAGGCTCTCCTCCATCTTCTTTACGGAGTTGAGTACATCTGACACGGTCTCAAAATACCTCGGCACAAACAGTTAATAATGAAAAAAGGCATCCATAACAGCAAATGGCAACCACCTTTGCAAACCAAAAAGTGGCTCTTAAGACAGGGAACCCTTCTGAGTAACGGTCACCATGGTAACTTGTTAATGCTTAAGACTCCCAAGCAAGGCATCCCACAGGAAATTCAGACACAGGTGTCCTGATTTTTAAAGCTGTAGCTGATTCCATGAGTAACCGATGGGCCAGCGTGTCCTTCACCACAGAATGAACCATGTCCACTCTAGGTCACTTTTGAAACCATAAAAATATCTCAGAACTTGGGGGCTAGGAAGGTGGCTCAATGGTAGAGCACTTGCCTTGCATACATGAGGCCCTGGGTTCGATTCCTCAGCACCACATAAGCAGAAAAAGCTGGAAGTGGCACTGTGGCTCAAGTGGTAGAATGCCAGCCTTGAGCTGAAGAGCTGAAGGACAGCGCCCATGCCCAGAGTTCATGTCCCATGACCGTCCAAAAGGATAAAAAAAGTATATATATATATATATATGCACGTACATATATATGTATGTATATATATACATACATACACACATACATCTCTCTCTCTATATATATATATATATCAGAACTTAAGTAAAATCCACTGCCTTCCATAATGATCTATTTTCAAGTTACTAAATGAGTTGTGTTGTCTGCAAGGTAGTCATCTGGCATTTGTCACATGCATTTGCCCAGAAAATAATATTTATTCTCATGTTCTCAACAAATCAGTGGTACAGTGGTCACATATGAGACAGAATCACCTTTTCTTTCTGAGGGGCCAGGAGGCCACTGGGCCTCACAAATTCCAGGTGCCCTCTACCACCACGCCACCCAAGCCCTGAGTTAGAAAACTTTTTGGTGTAACTCAATGGCAACATTTGGGGAAAAGCAGATTAAGCAGACATGAAGAGATGAGGGCCAGGGGTCAAGTGTTTTTCCTCTACTCCACACAGGGGCTCCAATCGAAGCCCCCTGTGTCATCTGATGATTGGGACCACCCTGGCTAGCAGTACTGAAGAAGGACTGAGAGGGGTGGTAGAGGAGAAAGTGAACTCTGGCAACTGGTCTGCAATCTAGGTGGAGTTAGGCAGCCTGGAGTTATGAGAGGGGTGAGGGGACAGAGTGACTCCATGCCACTTATTCATGAGAGAGTGCAGTGATGAGCCCACTACCATGCACACGTGCACAGTGTGGTCGTGTTTCTCACTAGCGTGCACATGTGCACAGCGTGTTGGTGTTTCTCACTACCGTGTACACGTGCCATTGTGTGATCTTGCTCATTACTGTTTACTCGTGCACAGTATGGTGGTTTCTCACTACTGTGCATACGCACCACCCTGCATGTCTGGGGACCCTGTGCAGACTCGTGCGTGTGAGTGACTTACTTGTGAGTGCTCTCGCAGAGAGCCTGCCGTAACCACTGCTGCATCACTGTGGGGTGGAGCTTGTCCTTGTGTGTGCTCTGAAGCTGGTGAAGAGGCCTCAGTGCGCTGTCCACATAAGAGGAGGCTGCAGTTGGGACCTCCTAAAATGGTGATGGCAGGGATTGAAGATGCATAGAAGAAAGCTGCCAAACATCAAGCCCAAGAGGACCCCACTGACACTGTAGTTCTGAGACACAGCACTCCTTCCTCTCAGAAGGCCACCAGGTCTGCAGGAGGACACCTGGGGCATGGCAGGCTGGACGTAGGAGCTCCTCAGTCAACTTTGGCTCAGCTACCTAGGTGCTGCATGCCCCACGCACCACAGGCACCTAGCCTCACCTTAGGGTCTGGTTCCGGGGGCGGGGAAGAGGGGGGCTGAGCAATGAACATGCATTTCCAAAATGCTTCTGCCAGGTGATGTCAATGCAGCTGGTCATAAATCAGCATTTGAGAGGCAGGGACAGGGCTTTAGTTACTTCATTTGAAAATAAAGATAGAGCACCACTTCTCAGAAGTAGGTGTGAGTGTACAACACAGTCTGAGTGCAACACAAACTCTCAATATATCCTCTATTCTAACAGCCAATGAACAGAAGGGGAAAAGCAAAATCCAGTAACTGGCACACAATGGTCTCCCCCCGCCCCCCACTTCCCAGTTCCAAGTAGGAACTTCTAAGTTGATCACAAAGAACTAATGGGAAGAGACTTTTGCTAGAAGTGGTAACCTGACTGTCCATCCACACTGTAACATGAAAAGGGAGAAAGAGTGGAGATTATAGCTACTGTCAGTTCAGCCACAAGGACTCACCTACTGTACCCACTAAGTGTAAGAGAGAAGAGCTATACAGACAGAAGTTTGGTCCCAGACCTCACAGATGAACAAAAGGTTGGTGGTATGCCATTTTCAATAGATCCTGACAATTTTTGGTAGGAAACTACTACACATTAAACTAAATCTTGAGTCTAACTCCAAGAGGGAAAATAATACTAGAGGGAGAATTATGTGAGCTCTAGTAAGTATGAAATGAGAATGAATGCATGATAATGAGTGTTCAATTGGGAAAACCAAACACTGGTAAAACTGAATTAGCTATGTCACCATTCCATGAAAGGAGCCCCAGGGAACCGCCCGTGAACAGTACTCATAAGCGACACCTCCCAATCAGTTTGGGGACGGAAGTCGACTGACGCATGCTAGGCAAGCACTTTCATGGAATTCTACCCCAACACTCTCAACAGTTTTTAACATAAATCTTGCTCAATAAAAAGACAGGACCAACCAAGTACTTCCAACAACCATATTAAGGGAAGAAGATAAGTATACAATACGAGCATACAGGGCTGGGATGTAGCTCAGTGGCAAAGCGCTTGCCTAGCAAGTGCAACGTCCTGGGTTCGATCCCCAGTACCAAAAAAGAAAAGACAAAAAAATACAGTTTAAAAAAAAAAAAATCCCAAACAACAATATGAGCATACAATATAAAGATACGAAAATTTTTAAAATAGGAATTGGAAACACTGTTAAAATGCCTTCTCCTAGTGAGTGTGATGGCCCACATCTGTAATCCTGATATTTGGGAAACCAAGGCAGGAGGACTAGGAGTTGGAGGCCAGCCTGAGCTACGTAGTAAGAGACTCCTGGCTAAAAATAAAATAAAATATGGTAAGATACAAAAGTAAGACATTTTCTCAGAAAAGATGCTTTCGCGTAAGGTACTTTTTCAGAAAAATAGCATGGTGCCTCACGGCTGAAATGAAGTCCACATTTTCTCTGTCTACTAACAGCAGTCCCTGAGCAGTGGGGGACTGGGCTCGCCCTTGTCTCTGTTGAGCATGTGCCCATGTGTACCACTCCCTCCTGCTGTCCTAGCCCCTCCTCAGCCCCAGGCTCTTCCCAGTGAACCATGCTGACCTTATTGGTCCTTCGGTAAAGCCTGGGAACCTCCTGCGCACTTTTCAGGCAGCTGAAGCAAGACTCGCTCAAGTCCTGCACTATCTTGCTGCTCACGGCTGGCACGCAGGCTGACAAGGCGCTCTGTGAGTCCTCCAGGGCCGCTGGGGAGGAAGACTGAATTTAACCACCATCAAGGCCCAGGTACAAGCTTTAAACACTCGTGTGGCACTTAGAGTATACTATAATAAATCAAGTTTTTAAAATTAAACATCTTATTTCAGGAACTTAAAAAAAACACAGAGTTGAATACAGAAATAATCAAAGATTTAAAACTAAAGAAAATGCTAATTTAAATATATCCTATGGTCTCAAAGTATTATTTTCAATTATTTCTTATTCAAAGATTTGTTCAGTCTAAAGATTCACCTTTACCTGAGATAGAAGAAAAATTATCAAATCCAATCATTTCAAGTTTTGGCTTGATTATTTCCAAGAGTTCTGGCAGCTGAAACAACATAAACACTTTATTTTTTATAAATCAAAGGAAGAGAGTTCTGTTCACATCTACAAACTCAGAATATGGTTAAAGCTGTGAAAGCAGGATCAGGACTTGCAGTGGTTTTCATGAGGGAGTGGGTGAGGCTTGATGCTTTTGCAGGGTGGAGCTGACAACTTGGAACCACATGGCTTTGCAACTCCTCACAGGGACAAAGATAAGCAAAAATATCTTGTTTTTGTGGCTCTCCATGGTACCAAAATAGAGAGACTGCATTCTCAACACACCACTGCATTGATTAAAGCCCACAAACGATTACTCTCTGGAGGCAGAATCACTTGCTGGAGGATCTGAACACTGACGTTGGCTTAATGTTGAGAGCAAAATCCCATGTGGCCTCACAGAGGAGAAGCCACAAGTGGTTCAGAAGGAATTCAGGCAAAAAGAGTTAAAAATAATCAAAACCGGGCTGGGAAGGTGGCTCAGTGGTAGAGTGCTTGCCTTGCATGCATGAGGCCCTGGGTAAGATTCCCCAGCACCACATAAGCAAGAAGAAAAAAAGCCGGAAGTGGCGCTGTGGCTCAAGTGGTAGAGCGCTAGCCTTGAGCTGAAGAGCTGAGGGACAGCGCCCAGGCCCAGAGTTCAGGCCCCACGACCGGACCCCCCCCCCAAAAAAAATCAAAACCCAGCCCCTGACAGGGATACTGTGCTCCCGCTCTCATCACTGAGGTGGGAAACAGTCTCGGGAGCACAGAAAGCATTGGAGGGTACTAAGCAAGTGTAGAAGGACTGAGCTCCCCAGCTCTCATCACTGAGGGGAGAACCAGTGTCAGAAGCACACCAAGTACCAAGAGTGCTGAGCAACGACTCACAGGATGTCTGGAAATGGCCAGCTGGGAGGGCGCAGGTTCCCCCACAACCCCAAGGTCCATGAGTTGAAATGCCGCCTCCTCTGGCACACACTATTTCAGTGAAAGCGTGCCTTGTACATTGCGACTCCTCCAGTGCCAGCGTACCTGCCCCTGAAGCCTGTGTAGGTCTGCAACCACATATACGAGCTGGGTGCTAGAGATGGACCCTGGTGGCTTCATATCTGACAGACCATTTCCTTGCTCCTCCCCAGCTCCTTGGGCATTGGAAGGATCTTTGCTGCTGATTCCTGGAGGCTTTTTGACCTCCTTGCCAATTTCATTAGAGATGGGCCTGAGAGAAAGCTGAAAAAGGATTTCAGTAATTAAATGCTCTACACTACTGAGACACAGCTTCACATAAAATGCTACTAGTGTGGAGAATGGGGCAGAAAGGTACTGATGGAAGAAGAGCGAGTTGGTCTCACAGGCAGACGTAACGAGAGGACAATGATAAATGAGCACGAAGCACAGGGCACCCTTCCAGAACTCTATTTCTGGTGCTAAAAAGGACGATGCATGAAAGAAGCTGCTAATAACTTCCTAGGCCACAGTAACATCACTAGCTGAAATAAATTAACTATATTTTGTAAATAGCTTACCAAAGTCACCAGCGCTTGGTTTTGGTTATCTTAATAAGAGTAAAAGAATTTATATCTAGCCAGGCACTGGTGGCTCATGCCTGTAATCCTAGCTACTCAGGAGGCTGAGATCTGAGGATCTCGGTTCAAAGCCAGCCCGGGCAGGAAAGACCATGAGACTCCTATCTCCAATAAACCACCAGAAAACCGGAAGTGGTGCTATAGCTCAAGTGGTAGAGAGCTCACCTTGAGCTGAAGAGCTGAGGGGCAGCGCCCAAGCCCAGAGTTCAAGCCCCACCAGCAACCAAAAAAAAGAAAAAAAAGAATTTATATCTAAACCTCATTATGCTTCTACTAGCACAAGTATCAAAGTGTTCTTTGTATAACATTGTTAAAGGAAAAACCAAAAAGAAACACACTAGCATTAAACAAAGACTATGTTCAAGACTAAGGAACTTACTAGAGAGAAAAGGGAGAGTGGCTAGGATATAGCTCAGTTTTTAAAAAGGGAGAGAAGTACTATCTAGCAAGACTGCTGGACAAGTAGGTGCTGGCCCATCCTGCAATAGTCTGCCCACCGTGGACCTGAGAGGTCCTGGACCGGGGTGGTCTGCCTGGCTAAGCAGAGGAGGAAGGTACAGAGTAAGAGGAAACGATTCCTACAGAGCTCCCAACATCTGCCAGGAGCATCAGTCCACAAAGAACCTGCACAAGAGCCACATGTAGAAACTGACGACAACAGGAAGTATGGCTCCTTCTGCTGCCTCACATGCTGTTCTCTCTCCCCCATCACTCCCCCTCCCCTCCTACTCTCCTTCCTGTTTATGAGCCCTTGCACAGGGACAGCTGGTGCAGTGAGCATGTCATGTCACTCAGGCTGTGCGAGGCAGCTCTGCAAGCAAAGGCTCAGCAAGCATGGGCCTTGAGCTCAGAACTAAGCCGAGCAGACTGCTTAAGCAGAGTCTCAAGGAAGGGAACACTGACCTGTAAGAGGTGAAGCTTTTCAAGAAAAAATACCGAGCAGACATCCATTCCATAGCTGTCCACAGGGCATTTAGTCAAACACATCATAATTCCTACCACAGTGGTTAGTGATGAGCCTCAAAACCAGCACTCACCTCCTCGATGAACACAGAAAACCGTGCCAAAATCTGCAGGGTGAGCCTCCACAAGCGGTGTGCCAGCAAGGGCAGAAACATCTTGTCTGACCAGCACTTCCTCAGGCTGCTCCATGTTCTGTGAGAGGCCAAAAGGCAGTATGGACTCCCAGCTGCAGAAAGACCATGGACTTAAGGGCTTCACCAGGCAGGGGCAACAGTGAAACGCTATTTTCGGTTTAATAAGGGAGGCATTCTAAAGAATGCTGAGGCCAGCAGAGCAGCTTCCACAGCCAGGTTTCCCAGCCTGTAATGTAGTTTGTGAGTTAACAACCACCACCCCCAGAAGTGTAGGTAAGCATGAACACAACATCCAAAATATTATAAATATATATTTTTTATACCAAATCAACATTGGCAAGGGTGTAAATTTCCATTCTGAATTTGTCTGGTTGGATTTGTCTATCCCTCACCTTCTTACCTCAGGACACAGCTACCCCTTACAAAAAGGAGTTGACTAACGTCAGCAAAGACAGAAGCATCTAACTGAAGCTAAATGGAGCTTCCTTTTTTTTTTTTTTTTTTAATGCCAATCCCTAGGGTTTGAATTCAGGGTCTGGGCACTGCCCCTGAGCTTCTTTCTAGCACTTTGCCACTGAGCCACAGCTCCACTTCCAGCTTTTTTTTAGCAGTTTATTTTAGGTAAGGGTCATGGATGTAACTGCATGGGCTGGCTTTGAACTGCAATCCTCAGATCTCAGCCTCCTGAGTAGCTAGGATTACAGGTGTGAGCCACTGGCACCCAGCTTAGGTGGAGGTTAATGCATGCAGATTTAGCTGCTTCAGACAGAGAAGACACTAATACTGAGGACCATAAACAGCAAAACTGTAGGAAGAGCCATACTGCCTCTCAGTGATCACCAGCAACAAGCATAACATGTGGCAAATACCAGCAAGGCAGTCAGGGCATGCACACAACTCCTGTACGCACGCATACACCCCTGCAACACTCATGACCCAACATCCAGGGGTTAGGAGCACAGAAAAGGAGGCCTAAATATATGCTCCAGCTGAGTCACTTCCAGGGGGAGCTCTGCATTCAGACCCCTCCCTGTCTGTAGTCTATGTTCAGCTGAAGAGGAAGGTGGACAGACTCAGCTCAGCCTCCACATGGAAGTACAGAAAGGTCTGCCTTCTATTTCAAAAAGGATCCTTTCTTTTATCATCCTTATTAAGAAAGAAGCTCAATGAATCAAAAGACCAGTTTCTTTTGGCCTTACAAAAAAAGCAACTGGCCAGGGAGGTGTTCAGAGAACAGCTACCCAGCACACTAGGAGCCCTGACATGACCCCAGCACGCGGGGAGCCCTAATGCGGTCCCCTGTACTGTCCAGTAAAATCAGTTAAACTAGGTGTCCTCAACTTACTGTGTGGTAGGAAAGGTGATAGACTCTGAGGGCTGGGGTTAGCCGCCGGTGAACTCGGCTAACCTGTTAGGGGCACCTGCTGTTTCCCTCTAAGAGGTTACCTGGAGCATCTGCCAGCCCGTCCACGAATGCTGCCTCTAAGGATCCTGCCACTTCTCTGAACCTGCACAAAACAAGGACACAGATGAGTGCTGATGGCCCTGTCAGCCCTGCCCCTGCCTATCCCCTCTTCCCAAGTGATAGGACAGCTCACTTGCCTGTTCATACCCATTCTTCTCAACCAGCCTTGGGACACCTATTCTCCCAACTTTAAAAAAAACTTTAAAAAAAGTTTGGCACTTAATAAGCTATACTGGTCAAGCCAGTACTCTATACATCAATATCTATATATTTTCTTGCAGCTAGTCTGTTTCTAAAATTAAAAACACTGAGCAGTCATCCTGTAAGCCCACCCTCTTGTAATCCTCTACACATTTCAAGGCCATACAAATGTATGTGTCTCTAGCCCACACCTGCTAACACTACCACAGCTAAGGACATACCCCTAACAAAGAAATGGGGAAAGCCTTGCTCCACATCTTGACTTGCGGCTTAACCAAAGTCATAAAGGCAGTCAGCAATGCCTTGAGCTCAATGCTCAGTGCCTGCCAGCCTCTGCTGGCTCTTCTGCCCTTCCATACATCTGGTGGCATTCCCAGATGATAGCTCGTTTCCTAGCTCTGCCCCTTCCATACATCTCATGGCATTCCCAGATGATAGCTGGTTCCCTGGCCTGAGGTCCCCATCACCCCTGTTCACTGTCAGAGATGGACATGTTTGTATAACTTTGTGGAAACATAGCTGTTTTATTTATCTTGTACTAGTTGCTGCTCAGGCACTGTGTCCAAATGTCCATCAGTGTACTCTTTTGCCCCCACTGGGTTCCTCAACCAACAATAAATTTGGATTCATGCTCAAGAGAAATTGATCTAAGTGACATTTTCAGAGTTTTAAAAAGAAGTCAGAGCTAAAGGTAGTAATTCTCTGGAGAGAATTACACCTCAAAGCAAAGCAGCAAGCCTAGAGAACCCCAACACTGCAGCTGCCTGATCTACTCCCCAGAAGGAAAGGAAGCTTCGGCTGCCCAGTGGGGCCTGCAAAAGGCTGGCCTTGGCAAGCTGCAGGTGAGAGGTGAGCTGGGCTGCCCCAGCCTGGGGGTGCTGGGGTGCGGGTGAGAGGTAGCTAGGCTGTCTCAGCCTGGGGGTGCCGGAGTGCGGGTGAAAGGCGTGCTGGGCTGCCCCAGCCTGGGGGTGCCAGAGTATGGGTGAGAGGCAAGCTGGGCTGCCCCAGCCTGGGGGTACCGGGGTGCCAGCACATAGAAGATCTCGAGGAGCACGTGGCTCCGGTATACAATGTCACATTTCCTAGGAAAATGTCAACATGCCACAGACATGGTCACTGTCAGGTGCTAGTGAGATAGGTGTGGGCCACCAAGCCAGGTTTTAAGTGGCCTGCAGAGAATGGTGACAACAGTGCCAATCTAAACCTAATTGTGTCTATAGAGCTCTGTCACCCCACATAAACAGGCCAACACCTGGTAAAAACCAATAGGAAAGTTCTAGAGTCATACTTGAATTTAGCTTTTAGATGAAAAGCAAATGTAGTGGAAACAAGCTGTATACTTTTATAATTTAAGCATAATTTAAATTTTTTTCATAAGCTTCAAACATAACTTTACAATCCCTTTGGATACTTTTATGAATTGGATGAAAGCCACAGGTCTTGTGGGGAAATGACTGCATTTCAGCACTGTTCTAGCCTGATTCCTAGCTTGACAGGAAGTAGACAGGATGAAGCTGGGATGGGCACAGCTGGGCACATGGGGACATGAGGAATGGGGGCAAGAGGGGCGTGGTGGGGCACAGCTGGGCACACAGGGGACATGAGGAGTGGGGCAGAGGGGCGTGATGGTATACAGCTGAGCACACGGGACAGGAGTGGGGCAGAGGGGCGTGGTGGGGCACAGCTGGGCACATGGGAGGCATGAGGAGTGCAGGCAGAGGGGTATGGTGGGGCACAGCTGGGCACACAGGAGCATGAGGAGTGGGGCAGAGGGCCGTGGTGGTGCTGAGAAAGGCGTCAACAAATAATTAGATGGGGAGATTTGCAACATTACTTCTGCACCAGCCTTAGTCATCAAAATAGCCCTGCATGACTTCAAATTGTCCTCCTGACACAGAGGCTTCTGTCCTAGTCCCTCTTTATGGACACATAACGGCCAGTACCATGTAGACCTGTGTGTTTTGTATGGGCATGCCCATAAGTCCCGCTGGTGTCATGTCCTTGGGAGACTAAGATTACACACATTCTCAATCATACCAGGCAATTATAGTTAGGGTACCTGATTCCTGACATATTTCCCTCTGCAATCTTTCTTAAAGTTCTGGGGAAGGACTGATCACAACCAATGAAAACACCCAGCAATTTGTGGATTCTCATTGGCTAGCTACAAACTGTGAAGCTCAGATTTCAACTCCCAAAGTAGCTACAATTACAAGTGTAAGCGACCAGCACTCAGCTAGCACCCAGAATTTAAAAAACAAAACAAAACAAAAAAACCAAAACCCTAAGCTGGGAAACAATAAGGGAAGGGGTGACATTGTCCAAAAGGAAATGTATTTTCTGCCTGACTTATGTAACTATGACCCCTGTTTTTAGCATTTTCAAGAAAATAACAAATAAACCAAGGACTGTCCGCCCCTCCCCCCCCCCTCCGCCATGCAGAGCCCTCTGCCTGCTTATTAGCGATGCAGAACCTATAATATCCCGAGAGACTGTCAAGACCCTGAAGACCCTGACTGCTTTTCCAACATCAACTAAACTTTTCCCAAGCATTTTGTAGAACTGTGTACTGACACAGCTGATAGCATCCTGAGACCTGGGAGAAAAGTCCACTTTCCAGAACAGAAAATGAGAAAATATCACAAAGGCCTGGGGGGGGGGGGGGGGGGGCGGCGGTGGGGTGTATCCAGGATCCCTGTGACTGACAGAAGCCCCTCTCACTCCTACAGGGGTAAGCACTGCAAATGAGAAGAGTGGAAAAGGAAAGAGCTGCAATCCACAGAGGACACAATGGAACCAAGCTCATTTCAGCTCCTAAGATCCCATTACTAGGAAACCGATGTATGGAAATGTCTGTTTGCCAGAGTGGCACCTACACTTCCTGTTCATTTCTGCCTCCCAAACACCATCCAGAAAAGTGGCTGCGGTTTGGGGTGACATTCTTAACTAGCTTTCTGTCCTATTGTGAGGGCAGGGTGAGGAATGAGTGACTGACCGTATCTGAAAATACACGGGAAGGTTCCACTTGTTACTAAAGCTGTGATAGGCGGGGTGTGCCCGGAGTCTCTTCACACTGGCTTGGGATCCGCACTGTTGCTCAAATCCTCTGACAAAATCCATGCTGATGGTATATTTCTAGAACAAGAACACACAGTGAGTTCTCATCAGCGGCAAGCTCATGAATAGGGAACAGGAACATGTATGCAAGACCACGATCAAAACAGAGAAGGTCAGCATCCAGAACCAGAGTTCTGGGGCCAACAGAGACCTCAGTGTTCCCACTTAGAGATGAGATCCTCAAAGCATTCCTGTGATATATTTGAGGTCTCCTGTGACAAAGCCTGCCTGAAGTTCTACCTTCAATTTCTTAAAATTTGCATAGTCATGTCCAGGGTAGATGGATGACTCTGCACTCCCACAGGAGTGGGTAGAGCTCTTCCCCACTCCCTCCATCCTTGTCAGCAGTTGCTTCCTTGATGTTTGTCTGCTGGGGTGAGGTGGAATCTCACCCCAGGATGTGGAACATTACTTCATGTATTTCCTTATTTGAAAAATATCTGTTCATCCCTGCCCATTTGTTGACTGGATTATTTAAATTTTTGAGTTGTTTACATATTGTAGGTATCTATTCCATTAGACAGCCACTGGGCAGATTTCTCTCTTATTCTGTAGGGTCTCTCATTTCCTGTTTCTTTCACTGTGCAGAGCTGTTTGATTTGATATAACTGCATGTAGCAATTCTTGGCTTTTACTTCCTAAGTCCTATTCAGAAAGTCATTACCCAGGATAACATCTTCAAGTGTTTCTCATTTTCCTTGAGTAGTTTCAAGTTTTACATTAAGATCTATTTTGAGTTGATTTTTGTACCAGGTAAGAGATCAGGGTATGTTGTCAGTCTTCTACAGCCCATACTCAGTTTTCCAACACCATCTGTCAAACAAGATATCTTTCCCCCCTCAATGTTTTGGGAACTATGTCAAGAATTTGATGCAGTACCTGCTTGGGCTTGTTTTATCTCTTCCATCTATCTACATGTCTGTTAGGTGTCAGTATCATACTTTTTTTTTTTTTGTCGGTCATGGGTCCTAAACTCTGGGCCTGGGCATTGTCCCTCAGCTCTTCAGCTCAAGCCTAGCGCGCTACCACTTGAGCCACAACACCACTTTCAGCCTTTTCTGTTTATGTGGTGCTGAGGAATCAAACCCCAGGCCCTCATGCATGCGAGGCAAGTACTCTACCACTGAGCTACCTTTCCAGTCCCACTATGTTATTTTTTGTACACAATTTAAAGTTTAGTTCTTTCAGTATTTTAAAGTTTAGCATCACTCTTTTTGCTCAGAATTGCTTTGGTTATTTGAGGTCCTTTGTGTTTCCATGGGGTTTAGAATTTGTGTATTCTATTTCTGCAAAGAATAGCATTGGAATTATAATGGGGACTGCATTGAATCTTTAGAATGGCTTTTGGTGGTACTGCCACTTTCACAATTCTACTACTCCACAAATATGGGGAGAGTGAGGTCCATTCTATATCCCTATATCCTAGTGTATTTTCCAGTGATTTATAGCTTTCGTTGCAAGAAGTCTTGAATGTCTCTGGTTAACTTTATGCCTATGTATCATACTGTTTTGAGGCTAGTGTGAATGGAGGAGTCCTATCATTTCCACAGATGAGCACCTGAGATCTGTCAGGGTTTACCAGCCCCACTGAGGGCAGGTGGTGGTAGCTCTGAAACAGCTCTATGAGGTAACCATGGCTAGTCCTTCCCCACTCGAAACACCATTTCTTCTTGTGTTGGGCTCAAAGAATAGTGCCCAAAGGCAAAGCTAGTAAGCAGAAACTGCTGAGCCCTACCCATCAGCACAAGTGCAGCTATATTTGTTTCCCAGTCTCCAAACTCCACCAATACTGCTGGACTTTTAAAATCTTCTTAATCTAGTTTACTAAACCATGAACACAACCTGCTGAAGTCTGCATAGACAGATATTTTCAGGGCAGTGAAATCCAAAAGTTTTAAGTTTCTTCCTACTAGTTCTGGGCAACACTCCTAGTATTCCCTGAGAATGGTCTTGGTATAATGCCTAAATCAGAAGGAACAACAGAGAATAAAAGAAGAAAGCAAATACCTAAAAGCCTCAAGTTCAAACAAGGTAGGAAAAGAAGGGGAGGAAGCACAATATAAATTGCAACTCATCAGCCATTAAAATCACTGTAGACTTAATAAACTATCGATTAAAAGACAAAGATTATTAACTTATTAAGAAAACCAAAGAGTAAAACTCCAGGAAAGAAGAAGGAACAGAAGCACAAAGAGGCTGAGCAAGAACAGCCAGAAGGACACTGGGCCCAGGCCTCAGAGCCTGTCTGTACACTTAGCTACAGTCAGCATTGCTTTCAAAAGACAACACGGTGAGAAACAAGTACATAAATTTGCTTTGGGAATCTTAACTATGATGTCTTTTAAACAATGATGTTTCTTTTTTCTTTTTAAAGGAAATAATAGAGCTTCCTACCTTTTTAATTATAAAGGACATTTATATGGCATATTTTAGAATCCAATCAATAACTTATTTTCCTTCAACCTAATGCTGTCTGGTCATGCCAATAGAAATGTACAAAATTAATTTTTTATGGAAAACAATGGCCAAGTTATTGGCTCTCTGAGGGCTATAGGATTTCTTGGAAAACAGAAAATGACAATAACTAGTCACACTTGTATCTAGACTGAACTATACGGGCATCCTAAATAAACCACAGAATGGAGGCTGCCATTCTGCCATAGAAGAGATCCTGTCTGAGACCATCTTCAAGAAACAAGATGATGAGACTACCTCGTGAAATACATCGGGATCCCCAGGATTGAAGAGGGAAGGCAGCTTTTCCTCCAGTCCTCGAACCACTTCTGGCCAGACAGAATTCACCAAGAAGTCATATCCAGGAACAACGGTGCCTTTCTCACTGTAAGACAAGAGCCATGGTCCATATTTGCCATAATCTTCCATTTACAATGAGGAAACCTGTACTGCTTTGCACCTACTAAAACAAGACCATCCTTGTCAGCTAGCTTGCTTCTACGCCGGAGCTTCTCAGATGTTGATGTCTCCTGGTAGCAATGACATGGTAAAACCACTGCATAGAACCAGTATAACTCTTCCCTGTCAATGCCCTACCCCTCTTAGGCCTCAGCTTAGGCCACAGAAAAGACCTCTGTACATCCCACTCAAACTCCATTACAGCATAATGCGAGTTACTCTACTTTACCCACTGCTCACTGTTTACCCACAGCTTCGAGTGTCTTCAGTTGTTGTCTATGTCACTCTAAACTCTTGAAACTAATATCAGAATAAGGTGCTTTGTATGTGCATGTTTTATTTTGCAGTTTTTTTGGTATGTATATTGGATTTCAGAGTCGAAATGGTGGATCCTCTCACTATTCTGTGCTTCGGCTCTATCTTTAAGAAGGGCTGACAACAAGACTTCACAAGGCCGTCACAAGGACTACTATTTGCAGACCACCCAGGACTGCTCCTAGCACACAGCTAGTCTATGCTGGTTATGGTGAAGCAGACCTATGAACACCTAGGCAAAGACTCTCTCTCCGGCTTGCCTACTGTGACTGCTGTATGCATACTCTTCTCTTTAGAAATGTTAAACAATTTAGTGAGGCTGGGAAGGTGGCTCAATGGTAGAGCGCTTGCCTTGCATGCCTGAGGCCTGGGTTCGATTCCTCAGCACCCCATAACCAAAAAGAAAAAAAAAAGCCGGAAGTAGCACTGTGGCTCAAGTGGTAGAGTGCTAGCCTTGAGCTGAAGAGCTGAGGGACAGCGCCCAGGCCCAGAGTTCAGGCCCCACAACCGGACCCCACCCCCCAAAAAAAAGAAATGTTAAACAATTTAGTGTAAAGTCTTACGTTAGCAAGCCATGGAAGTTTTGTAGCTTAACTACTGGATTGAAACTTTGAGACTTAACATTCTGATAATACAGATAAGACTTTATGTTAAAGGCTGAAAGTTTCATCAATTTTCCTCCTCAGAAAAATGATGTAGACAGACGGGACGGGATGGTAAGGGGAATAAGAGGAGGAGGCAACAATGCTTGATAAGAAATGCACTCATTACCTTGCCCATGTACTTGTAACCCCTCTGTACGGTATTTTCACAATAAAAAAAAAAAAGTGGGGAAAAAAAAAAGGCTCTGCTGCTCTGTCCAGGAGGAGTGGTCAAAGGATCTCAGTACAAGCACACCTGGGCACTGATGACCAATCACTGCAGGAGAGGCAGGGGCAGAGACAAGGGGTGGGGGTGGGGCTCCCGCTGCTCACATGCCCAGTTGAAGATTTCCCAGTCTAGATGTTCCATCAGATTGGGAATTAGCTGTTAGGGCATGCGGAGGAAAGAATGACATGAGAACTCCAAACTACAGACCACACAACACCAACTTTAAATAGCAGACCTTCCTCATCTTCAAAGAAACATGTAATTAAGGCTGCCAAAGAAAAGATAAAACCTAACTCAGACTGCTCTGTAGAAGAGCTGACAGGTTTTATTTGGAGGGTAAACCCTGAATGTTGCTGGTGGTCAGTTAGGAAGTTCACCGAGTGATGTGTGGAAAGCAGGGACAATACACAAGGGAGTGGCAAGCAGAGGTCCTGAAACCTGGAGTGCAGCAAGACCAGACACTTGACGGGGCTAGAAGCCATGGAAGATGGTCTAGCAAGGGCCAATACAAAGTATTTGAGGCTTCTGTGCAAATCCCACTATCCTGAGACCAGGTAGGACTTCCAAAGCTTGGACACCTAGCATTTCAGGACCAAGAGCAGCCTTTGTCAAATCTAATGATGATCAGCGTCACTTTAATACTGCATCACAACTTCCACTGCCATCCCCAAATCCAAATCTAGCTAAAAATCCTCGTGATTATCTAACACAGTGGCACAGCCTCACCTGCAATGGGGTGGAGGAGACAGATGGGGCACTTCCAAGGTCAGGAAGAACACTACTCAGATTTTTTTTTTCAAGAAACAAATTTAAGACCAAATAGACTACATGTCCCACAAAGGCAGAGACTTTGCTTGCTGTCTGCTGTTGTTTTGTTTTTGAGGCAGCTATGGCTGGACAAAACTCAAAACTCCTCCTGCTTCCACTGGGACCACAGGTGTGCTTACCTCATCTAGTTCTTATTTCCCTATCTGAAAGATCCAAACTCTTCCATTTTGCAAGCACTTCTGGGAAGCTGCCATCTTCAAGATGAGCATTGCAGAAATGGCTCTTCTGTAAAATGGAGGTCAGTCCAAAGCAGAAGCAAAGGCAATCTATTCTGGATTCTAAGGACACCATGAATATGGGACGCTGGTTTAAGGGATCTTGAGAAGGAAGTGGTCTTTCAGCTGGGGCTGTGTGTGGAGGGATAGTTCAACAGCAAGGAAGATAAAAGAAAGAAAAAGATGGCTGAGATAACAAAAGGAACACTGAAGAAGTACATGTGTGTGTGAGTGTTGGGGAAAGGTGGCCAGCGCTTGAAGAGGTGCAGGGAGAGTTCCTGGTGGAGAGCTGCCAGGAACAGATTATGGAAAGTCTTCTCCACTCTGTCAGAGAGTCTGGATCAGTCCCACAGCACAAAGACACTGTCAAAGACTCAGAAGGCACAGTCCATGAGCCTCAGAACTGCCACGGCTGGCTGAAGAGCAAGCCTGGACAGCAGACACAGGTGAGAGACTCTGCTATTCTGGCCATCAGACAAGTGGCCTAGACTGGACGTGCCAACAGTTAAAGAGTGGGATATTTATAAAAGAACTGAAAAGTCACATAATTTGGCTACCAGAAGGGGAAATTGAAGATGACCTCACCAATCAGTATAAAACTTGAATTAAACAGAGTTGGTGGTAGTCATAAAGTATGACATCAGAATCATGCAATTTTGACTGCAAACTGGATTTAGGAAGATGGCAGAGATGCCGCATGGAGGAGGAAACGGCACAACCACAAGGCTCCTGTCCAGTCCCAGGACAGTCTAGGCACCCTTCAGTTACCTGGAGACGGCTCCTCCTGTGACCTCCCGGAGAAGGCGGCAGTGGTGAGGGACAAATTCCAGGAGTTTATCATACATGAGCTGAAGGCCCCCGGGCTGGGACTCAGCAAAGTGTCCACTGATCACCTATGATGAGAAACAACACTTGTATTTTTATTTTTTAAATTACTGTTAGTTATAAAGGTGATGTATAGAGGGGTTACTGTCAGGTAATAAGACCCACTCTTACTCCTTTGCTCTCTCCCCGTGAGACATTTCTTTTTTGTCGGTTGTGGGGGCTGAACTCTAGGCCTGGGTGCTGTCCCTCAGCTCTTCGGCTCAAGGCTAGCACCCTACCACTTGAGCCACAGCACCCCTTCAGGCTTTTTGTTTATGTGGTGATGAAGAATCGAACCCGGGGCCTCATGGATGCAATGCAAGCACTCTACCACTGAGCCACCTTCCCAGCCCAGAAACAACGTTTTTTAAAAAGTAAAAGAGGAAGTGGTACTGTGGCTCAAAGTGGTAGAGGGCTAGTCTTAAGCTAAAAAGCTCAAAGAAACTTTTAGTATACTAGATTCAGTTCAATGAAAAACATGCATAAGTTAGTAATGAATATTTTCTCTAACTTCTAAAGACTTCATTTGTCATTTTTCATCTAAAGGTAACTAAAAAGAGAACTCATGAGTAGAGGAGACCGAAGATTATTTTTCAGTATTTGTAAAGAGGCCAAAATTATTACTGAAATTAAGCTTTAAATTCCATTTCTACTTTGATTTCACCCTTACACTGTGGTCATGGCAAGTACAACTGCCGTACTACTCATTGCAACTTCAGGGACGAGGAGCATCTCTGAATGCAGGAGGCAGGGAGCAGACATGAGGCCCACAGCCCTGGGTCAGGGTGCTGCTGAACGCGGGCAGCAGGCCCATGAGGAACATAGCCCTGGGTCAGGGAAACAAGCTGCCATTTATCCGTGTCATTTCCATACCCTCACAGATGAGGGACATCAGGTGCCAGATTTCCAGAATGTTCTTCCTGTTTCTGAGCTCTGGCCAAACACCATCCATTCCTAAGGCGTTTCGGGAGTGTGGCTGCTTTCTCTTCCATACCCCTGCTCAGCACCTGCACACTCCTTTGCAGTCAGTGTCATCTGCTTATAATGGCTCACAAAACCAGTGGTTCCTACATTTTCTAGGGTACAATTTATACCCTAATATGGAGATAAATTTTTTTTGGAGAGCTACTGGGCTTTGAACTCAGGGCTTCACGCATGTTAGGCAGGAACTGTACTAGTGGGACCAAGTCCTCTCTCTGTTCTACAGTTATTTCTTGAGTAAAGATCTCATGGTTTTGCCCAGGCTGGCTTGGACTGTGATCTTATTTATGGCTCTAGTAAAACTAGGATGACAGATAAACCTTATCATGCCTAGTTAATCAGTTGAGATGGGATCTTGCTAACCTGTTTGACCAGGCTGACTTCATACTCCGATTCCCCCCAGTCTCTGCCTGCAGTGTAGTTGGGACCATAGGTATGAAACTGCTTCCACTTGCTAAAATGTGACCCATAAAATGTGATCCTCCTAGACAATATTCTCACCTTCTGGCAAGCTGCAGGATCACCAGCTTGAGAACATGGCCAGCTCAGAGCAGGTCACCTATATAACACCCAGCTTAGGACACAGCACCAGCTAGTCTTGCAGGGACAGGGCTCCTGGCAGGCAAACCTCTGGCATTTCTGCCTCCAACAACACCCAGCCAAAGGTGGAAGCTAGTACTCCTCTGAGCAAGGCCACTGACTGAGAACACACCTCATCAACATATGGCTTCACCAGGACCTGACCAACCAAGGCCTCTGCATCGCGTGTCTTATCGATGGTGGCGTAGGTCCGCAGGCAGTGCCGTATGATGTCCACGCTGGAGGTCTGCAGGCCTTCCAGTAGGAGGCCCTCCAGGGACTGCTGCAACACAGCTGTGATGCCAGCTATGCGCTGCAAGGAAACAGGCGGAGGTCACACTAAGCAGATCCACACTTGGGTGCCATGCCCTAGGGAGAAGACGGACGGGATGTGTAACCTTGAGAGCAAGAGCATTGCTTGGGGAGGAACATCAAATCCTTCCTTTTAGCTGGTGCCAGTGGCTCATGCCTGTAATCCTCACTACTCAGAAGGCTGAGATCTAAGGATCATAGGTCTAAATCAGCCCAGCAGGAAAGTCCACGAGACTCTCATCTCCAATTAACCACTAGAGAAACAGAAGTGGTGTTGTGGCTCAAAGTGGTAGAGAGCTAAGTCTTGAACAAAAAGGGCTCAAGGGGATAGCACCCATGTCCCAAGTTCAAGCCCCATGACTGACAAAACAAACATGAATCCTTCCTTTTCCCTATAGCCTTTTGTAAATAGGTTGCTAATTAATCAAAGAAGAATTCTGACAGAGAAAAAAATGCCATTCCTCTGAACCTATAGAGTCCTTTTTGAAAAGCCCAACTAAAGGCTTTGGGGGAAAAAATAGCCCGTATCTCTTAACACGTCACACATTACATGAAATTCAGAACTGGTCTTCTTCTAATTTAGAGAAGTGAGTGGGGGTTCACTCAAAATCTATAAAGTATGACATATGAAGCAGAAGTCCAATGAACATAAACTGAAAAATACTGAAAGCTATCATCAGCATACTGAAGATCTGCCATTAATATCAACAGCATTGGTAGATAAAGTTACTCAGCAAGCCCCTAAGCACCAAGTGATGAAACTCTAAAACACTTACCGGTCTTACTTTGTCCAAAAGCGGCATGCCCTTGCTCTGTACAGCATGAAACTGCAGCTGGTTAAACTCTGTGGCAATCCTCTCCAAAATCTGACCTGTCAAGAGTGGGCTGGGTAAGACAAAAACCAGAGAATTAATTCTAAGGGTTTACTTCATGCCTTTAGCCATGTGCTCCAGCCCCAGGGGGAGCAGCTCTATCACAGTGATTTCCAAGGCCACATGCTGCTTTGGCACCCCTCTGAGTCACGCTGAGTCACATGCCCAGTCTGTTTCTGGTGGGCAATCGGTGGAGTGCAAGGGACAGATATTGCTGGGCTTGAAGCCTGGGGGCTGACACAGTGAGGCTCATCATCCTCTAACGCACTCCATCTTTCCCACCTCTTCCTGATCTCCTCCTGTTTTCTCATTCCTCAGCTTTGTCCCACTTCTCTATCTTCTTTGGAAATACCTCTGATATTTCTAAAATGCCAAGCCCTTTTGTCACCTTCATAAGACTAGCCTCTAGTATCAATAAATAAAATAGCTTAAAACAGCTTTAGATTTGATCAATAACAGCTCACTTAAAAATTATGTTATTAACAGCACAAAGAGCAGTTGGTCCATATGCTCCAGGTCCTGGAGAGAAGTCATTCATTATGCATTTGCCCCAGGAATGGATGCACTTTTTCCTAGTGCCCACTATGACTTGTCAACAGCACTCTAGGGACAGTACAGCAGAGAGGAGAAGTGCAAGGCATTTCCACCAGAGAAATCAATGATTAGGAAAAATGTGCACAGCCAAATGACACCAAATCCCAATCTGAAACTATCAGGTAGCCTGTTCCTGCACCAGTGCACTGACACTAATTCAGCAGGACCTGCCTACCAGGGTCAGTCTTCAACATCCCCACCTATGTCCTGACTAGCCTGACAGACTTACCATCTACAAAGCATCAAAACGTAGCTATGTTTCTGTCCTATGCTCACTAACATGTTCTGGCTTTGCCCACTTACTCTACCAAGAAAACTGCTGATCTGAATGGAAGCTTCTCCAAGTGACCTAGAGCAAGGAAGGACACAGCATGTGCTATATTTAGGTGGTAATATTCCTCCGGATGCATGGAAGCAGATGGCAGGCACCTTTTTGTAGGCACCTTCCCACTCCAGACACTAAAGGTGGAAGTAGGGCTTGGCCCAATTCAGGACCTTAAAAATCTTATGGGAAAGCACATAATCAGTGGCTGATGGGAGCAGGGGACAAGCATCTATCTCAAAGGTCAGGGAAGACTTTCTGGAGGAAGTAGTCCTCCAACTAGTTTTTAAAAGGTAACTCTTGTAATGTCTCATTTGCAGTCTGCTATAGAACAAAGCAGGACAGACTTTAAAAGGAGCAGGAAGGATCATCAGTACCCAAGGTGACAGAATGGTGAATGTTACAAATATAAACCTGTAGTGCTTAACAACAGCTTTTTCTCCCACTTGGCATGGTACCTCTTCATATCTTAACCATGTCCTAAACAAGCTTTGGAAGATGCAAAGTGGAACTGGGCAGACAAGGGAGGAGGAAATGGAAGAAAGGCTTATAGCAACACAGATGGCCACCTAGAAACTGGAATACATGCCAGTGGCGTTCACCACACTCAGGAAGCCACAGTAGGTGCAGTTTTGGTGAAGAATGCAGAGGTGTGAAGAATGACCAGGGAGGGGCTGATTAAAATGTACTTACAGAGTGACTTTAGGCAAAGCTAAGATGTGACTGGGCAAATATGAGGTAGATGCAGAAGGCAGGAGGTCAGCCAGGCCTCAGATAAAAAGATAGTGGAGGAGCAGGTGTCAGACGTCTGTCTCCCAACCCGAGGGATGCCTCAGCAGCAACTGCTGCAGCGTGGGAGTGGTGCACAACAGATGAGTCAAACAAAAGGAGAGACGGAGCCAGGCGAGGGTGGTTCATGCCTGTAATACTAGCTACTCAGAAGGTGAGATTTGAGGACTGAGGTTCAGAGCCAGCCTGGGCAGACTAGTCCACAAGGATTTTTATCTCCAATCAACCAGTACTGAGCTGGTAGCAGTGGCATGGCTCAAATGGTAGAGCACCAAGTGTGAGCAAGAAGGCTGAGCAAGTGAGAGCCTTGAGTTTATAAAGGGGAGACAGTGAAAAGGGGGAAAAAGGGTTGCCTTGTGATCCCCAGCCTGGAGAAATGGCGAAAGCAAAGAATGAGAGAGATGAGGGAAGATTGCTGGAGTGCACATACACTGGGTGCATACAGGACACCAGGGGACACATGGTCAGGCTGACCTGAGTACGAGGCTGGAAAGGCTTAGGTACAAGTAAGAGCCAGCGTCTCCCAGCAGCCGAGGGATCAGACGGCCATGAGTATGGATAGGAGTGGAGCACTGGAAGAGCACCTGGAGCTGGCACAAAGGGCCAGTGTAGTTATGGAAAAAACATGGCAAGAGGGACCCAGGCAGGAGGAAACTGGGACAGGTATCAGGTGTCCGTTGAGGATGGGTGCGAGGGGCGTGCAGCAGAGGCAGAGCAGGTCAAGCTCACTGGTCAAGCTCCACAGACATCAGCAGTGACTCTGATAAGTGCACTGGTGCAGAGAGTAAGAACTGACAACTGCTCCTAATCCTGAGAGGGGAGACCCTAGGGCTGGAGGATTGCTTCTCCTCTGTGGATGCTTCATTGTCTATCTATAAAGTGAGAGGCATGGCATACACTGTCTCTTCAAATCCAAAATTCTGATGCCTAAAACAAAGAAAGCTGACATGCTTATGTAGTGTGATCAGGATTTTGAACCACAGGTATATTCTACTTGAGCTTGGTTGTTTTTCTAGCAGTGTATTCTACTTTACTAAAAAAAGAAGAAGAGGAGGAAGAACAACAAGAAGAAGAAGAACAAGAAGAAGAGAAAGAAAGGAAGAAAGAAAGAAAGAAAGTGAGAGAGAAAGAAAGAAAGAAAGAAAGAAAGAAAGGTTAGTGCTATCAACATGACTTGAAGAGACAAGCTTTTGAGGGCTGATGGTACACCAGGCACCAAACCGCAGAACCTCATCGGAGGTCCACAGACTTGTGCAGGGAGCTCCGAGGACAGTCCCTTACAGGCCATGGTGGCTCAGGTGGAGGGCTGCAGAGCTCTCACTTGGAGCCTCCTGCTGGCTTGCAGGGAGGGCTCCCTACTGGAGTTCTTCATTTCCTCAGTCACTTTCCCAACTGGCTGACTTAAATTCAGAATAGGATGAGATGATGTGTTCTGTACTATTCTTAATGATATAAAGCCAGTGCATTTGAACTACTAGACATGTGAAGTAATACTTTGAGCCTGTCAATATTCTGAGATAAATGCTAGTCCCTTACCTGAGGGTCAGTCAGGATTTTGCTGGTCTGTGGACAAGGCAATTCCAATGGTAAAATCTTCCAGAGAGCATCTGCCTGTGACTCCTGGAAAGGTGGCAGCCTACAACTGAGGTTTAAAGCCACCCAGGCTTTGCAGCAACAAGCACTGAGACTAGCCCTTTTTATTTATGAGCATAAATAAATCCATTGTCTAAATTTCATACACTTTTTTCCATTCTAAAATGAGCTGTAACTTGAATTTTTTTTTTCTCGCCTGGGTGTGAAGTATTCAGTATACTTACCTGCTTGCTTCTAGTGTAGTTGTTTCTTTAGAACCTTGAGAATTTAATATTTTTTCAATTTTCTCAACTGATCGAATAACTTGTATAAGCCTCAACACACACATCTATAAAAATGAAAGAAAAGCAAAAATGTTATCCTGATGTAAAACTTAATATATTTCATCTTAAATATGGGAAATACAAAGCTGAAAGTTAACAGTCTACATTTTTAGCATTTCCATGTAATACTAAATTCCCAAGAATGCAAATTTCAATTTTGGCTTTGTTAGGAACAAGTATATTTCAATATCCTATCATAAGCTCATAATCAAACAAAAAATAAGTAAAAGCAAAAACAACAAAACAATCTTGACCTTTTTGCCTTCTTATAACTCTGTATTCCTAATCCCTTTCTTTTCCCTCCTTCCTCCCCCCCCCCCCCACCTTTACTTTCTCTTTCACCAGTCCTGGGGCTTAAACTCAAAGCCTAGGCACTGTCTGTCCCTGTGCCTTTTTAACTCAAAGCTAGCACTCTAACACTTGAATCAGCACCACTTCTGACTTTTTCTGTTTATGTGGTACTGAGGAATCAAACCCAGGGCTTCATGCATGCTAGGCAAGCCACTGAGCCACATTCCTAGTCCCTCTTACTCCTTTTTTTTTGTCAGTCCTGGGGCTTGAACTCTGGGCCTGAGTGCTGTCCCTCAGCTCTTCAGCTCAAGGCAAGCGCTCTACCACTTGAGCCACAGCGCCTGGTTTTTTGGTGGTTTATTGGAGACAGGAGTTTTACGGCCTTTCGTACCCAGGCTGGCTTTGAACCATGATCCTCAGATCTCAGCCTCCTGAGTAGCTAGGATTACAGGCGTGAGCCACTGGCCCCAGGCTCATTTCTTCATTTTTAAATGAACCTTTTTTTTTTTTGGCACTATCCTTACTCTCTTAAGACATTTTTTGTATTTTATCTTCCATCATACTAATCTTCAATTACATGAGCACAATATAAATATCTAAGCGCAATTCATTAAAGAAACTGCTCTACACAAGCGTTAGAGTTTGAAGCATAGTTATTCACTGGACATCTGTTATGAAGTCACTGTATAGACACTGGGAACATGATTGAATAGGCAAATGCATCTCCAAAACAAGCTTTTTTCCTTTAGATTATAAAATTGTGTTAACAAACTTAAAAAACACTGGGCAGAACAAGCTAAGGCAAGAGTCTTCCATTCTTTTTATTGGGGGCGGAGTGGGGAGGGGGTACTGGAGTATGAACTCAGGGCCACTTGAGTCTTACCTCCGGCTCTTCCCTTTTCTTTTTGGGGTATGTATTATTTTGAAATAGGGTCTCACTTTCTATTGTGGGCTGGCCAGCCCACAACAATACTATTGACACTTCCCACTACAGCAGGAATGACAGGCATGTCATCGAGTTCAGTTTTTTCTACTAAAATGGGTATTGTAACTTTTTGTCTAAAATTACAGGTATGAACTATTGCACTTGGTCAATTCCAATCCTGCTATGTTATGATTTTTTAAAAAATCAGGAAAACACACACAAGGAAAAACTGCACAGCGAAGGCAGCACATGCAGAGGAATGCACAGTGGGTGCAATACAGCAACACGGGACGGCGGGAGACAGTACTCTCCCTCCTTCAGGTTGGGAGTCTGGGCCGTGCTGGCAGCAGAGCTTCAGAAAGTCCCTCTGCTCAGAAAGCCACACTTTCACAGGGGTTCTGAAAGATAACAAACTTGCTAAACTTTAAAGAGGTTTACTGTAGGCTATTTCTGCTGCTTTCTCCTCTGAAAATTAAGTTTTAACCTGGACACAACTCAGGGATCTTAGACCACTTACATCGAGTCCTACATCACAGACCAGCACTATCTTCCTACTTCAGGAGCTCCCACGAGGAGAGTATGAGAAGGCTGGAGGAGGGGCATTTAGCTGGCCTGGGCCATATTTCTTTAAAGGTATTAATAAGTAATAAAACAAGATGAACACACAATTTTCTTTGCTCATTAATTACTTTCCCTCACCCTTCTGATTCTCAGGGTTTTAATCAGAGCAGGAGTGAGAAGACCTGGTGCTATTCCCCACCCCCTGCATTGAGCTACCCTAAATGCAACAAGTCACACTGTTCACAGGTGGGCTCGGCTGTCCCCTGGGGGCATCTGGGTCAAAGAGAGTAAGCAGACCACACCCCTGAACTTGATAGTAACCACAAAGTGTCCTAGTGAGTTGATGCTTTAAGGGTAAAATAAAGTATACCTTTTTTTTCCGAATGTCTTCTTGTTTAGACATTCGTTCATCTACGGCCCGAATTCCTTCACTGACAGATGATCTAAGACTCTAAAAGAAAGCACATTGTGAAAATTATCAGGCACATAATGAAATGTACAATTAATTCATTTCTTCAGGTTTTAATATCCACAAGCCAGTATTACGCAGATATTGACAAAATCATCAAGTATCAGACATAATTGCTTACAGGGGACTCATGATTTAGTGACAGAGAAAGATAAAGTCATTTAAATGGACTAAGTACGATAGGGAAAACAGCTCATCTGATGAACATCATAGGTGACTGGGGTAGAGGAGGGGGATAACCTGACTCACATGTGGAACGTCTGGGCTACAGAGGGGATGGGACGTGAAGGAAACTCCCTCAACACCAAGAGTTTCCTACAGCAGTGTCACTGCAGGCTTGTTTTGGAAAGAAGTAGAAACTCACAGGGAAGGGCTGACTTTAGGAGGACTTTGCCCAAAACACTAGATTCTACTCATTTAAAACACTGATCAATCATGATGAAAATACTGTTTGGGGAAATTTAGGAAGAAGTCAGGAAAACGATGGCCAAAAGGGGTGATGTCATAGCAAAGAGACATGTACAGAAGCAAATGGATTTAGTATGAGATAATCAAAAAGGATGGCCAAAATAAAGGTAATGGAACAATTAGAATAAAGTGTACAAAAATTAATGGAAAAATTAACAGAATAGTGAATTTGCTCAGTCAACAAATGCTACAAAATACCTGCAAAGCACTGGCTATCCACAGAAACCAATAAAGAATGAGACAGCACTGTTTCCTTCTTTAGCAGCCTCTTAAGTTAGCATTAAGATGAAGCAAAAGTCTGGGGGTAAACCAATTAGGTGAGACTAGGCTACTAGCTAGGTAGGGCCAAGGAGGCGTGAAAGATATCCGTGAATCACAGAAACATTCCCTTACATTCCATGGAAAATCACTTTGGAGGAGCTGTTTTAAAAATAAAGCAAGTGGGGGCTGGGAAGGTGGTTCAGTGGTAGAGTGCTTGCCTTGCATGCATGAGGCCCTGGGTTCGATTCCTCAGCACCACATGAGCAAAAAGAAAAAAGCCGGAAGTGGCGCTATGGCTCAAGTGGTAGAGCGCTAGCCTTGAGCCAAAGAGCTGAGGGACAGTGCCCAGGCCCAGAGTTCAGGCCCCACAACCGGACCCCTCCCCCCAAAAAAGTAAATAAATAAAAAATAAAGCAAGTGTAACTACTGTAGTTCATGATACAGTTTAGGCTGTACCTGATCATGAGTCTTTCTGCCTCCCCCCCCCTCCCCCCCATGTCACACACTCCAAGTTGATCATGCACCTGACAAGATCTGAGTCTGAGGGGCTGTGTTACCTAGTGGTGGCAGTGCGGGTCTCTGAGGTGGCATACCTAGTGCTTCTCAGTACTACAGGGTTTAAAGCATTCTGCTGGAAGTGATGTTGAAACTCTCCCTCTAATGTTCACCTATGGGTCTCCCTGTCTCCATGGCATAGGACTCCCATTTTCATTGCAGACATTACCTCAAGGAAATGTTACAGTACCATTTTGTTAGGTGGTACATTAATTATTTTAAAATGTTTTCTTCTTGGCAATTCTAGGGTTTGAACTTGGGACATTGTGCTTGCACAGCTTGTTTGCTCATAGCTGGTGCTCTACCATTTCAGCCTTACCTCCAGTACAGTACTTTTGTTGATTATTTGGAAACTTGGGGTATCAAGGACTTTTCTACCCAAGTTGGCCTTGACCCATGATCCTCTAGGTTTCAGGTTCCTGAGTAGCTATAATCACAGGTATGAGCCACCAGCAACTGGCTAGATGACATTAGCTTTGTATCACCCTTCAGCTGGTTCGTGGTCTAAACAGTTTTTGTGGGCTGCTCTAGGAACCTGACTACACACAGAATATTACTCGAGAAAACATTAAGTTAAAAATGTTTATATACGCCGGGCGCTGGTGGCTCACGCCTGTAATCCTAGCTACTCAGGAGGCTGAGATCTAAGAATCGCGGTTCAAAGCCAGCCCGGGCAGGAAAGACCATGAGACTCCTATCTCCAATAAACCACCAGAAAACCGGAAGTGGCGCTGTAGCTCAAGTGGTAGAGCACTCGCCTTGAGCTGAAGAGCTGCGGGACAGCGCCCAGGCCCAGAGTTCAAGCCCCACGACCGACAAAAAAAAAAAAAAAAAAAAAAAATGTTTATATATAAGCTACCTGACTCACTAACGTGCCACATTTATATTTCACCTTCTTCTCTTGCATTTTAAAGCTATGTACAATCAGAATCTTCATCTGTCATCTTCAAATGTACTTTAGGTTGTAATATCACATGCAAAAATATTATTTGTAACTTTTCTAGGGTGATAACCATTCAGTAAAGAACAAATTAATAGATTAAAGAAATTATATTTGGAAGAAGACAAACATGTAGTAAACAGAGATTGTTTAATACTATTGGGGGAACTCACCAGAACCTCTTCTCGTAATTGTCCCAGAGGCACAGAAAGCTGGTTAAGGGCCTTGTCCATGCCAACCTAAAGGCAAAATCATGGCAGCATAGACATCACAATCAACAATAACAGTATCTCTTTTATGACCAAAGTAGTACTAGACTTTGTATCATTCTTTGGTAAATGAGATTGACAATTACTTCAAATTTCTGGGGTAAAATAAATGACAAATTTTCTAAAAACAGTGCATTTCTAAGACTCAATATGCATGGAAAATAAACCATGTTTGTAGGCCTGTGCAGTCACAACTGACCAAGTTTGTGGAGAGGTTAACAAAGTCTGCATAGTCCTTGTTGATCAGCTCCACCATGGCTGTTTTAAGCAGCTTGTAGTATAGTTCCAGGTCATCTCTCAGCTCTTCCAACTGTACCCGTTTCCTACAGTCTGACACAAAGTGATCAACGTCGAAATCCTCCTGAAAAGCATGCCAGAAGAATTACCACAATGGTATCACATTTACATAAGAGGATGATGTAGGACAACAGAAAAGCCACTGCATCTTTTGCAAGGCCACACTGCTATAGGAAGAGCCCTTCAAGTCCCACACTGCACAATAGTATCTATCCACTTGTGCAGGAGCCAGGAAGGACGGTGACCAAGAACCATCCTCCTGTGCCTCACTCTACTCCCACCTTAATTGTATAAGTATTAAATGTTTAGTGTAAAACTTTAAAGGCTGGGCACTCATGGCTTAGAGCTCCAATCCTGGCTCCTAATCTGCAGGCACCATCCCTACAGGTCAATGAACTACATTTCTACAGTGATTATATCTGATAGGAGGCCATCTGACCAAGTCGCAGGGTCAGGGTCACTAACTGAAAAGTCATCTGTTTCTCTGGGTCCAGAATCAGCTGCATACATTCCTGACTCTACTTAGGGCACCTGACAGATGATGTCATGTGGTACACTACAGAGGGCACCACTGCAAAATGTGTAGACACAAATGTAGGAAAGTAACCCCAACAGCAAACACTCCACCCATTCTGTCACAGAACTCATAAAATGTCTCTTTAAAGGAAACATAACTAGCAGATAGCCTTAAACGTGTGGTTCCACCTAGAAAAATCAACATTTCACAGAACAGCTGTTTTCTCCACTTCCTTCTACACATTCACCAGCACTACAAATTGCTTGGCACTTTCAAGAAGCCTAAGTGTCATGAAAGGATATAGGACTGCAGGCAATCGAATCACTCCCCAACTTGCTCTTTAAGATGTATCTTATGAAGTACATATCCTTTATTTCTACTTCCTGAGGTTGCATTTACCAAAAGCATATCAGCTCCAAAGGAGATGGGGGGATAATGAGGCAGGAAGGATGTGGGCAGTGGGCCTTAAGTCTAGGCCACGTGGTGGACAAGATTTTTCAGCACTCCTAGATTCCTGAGGCCAGAATAAGGTTCTGATCTGTGTATGGTGTGGATTCTTTCCCCCCAGGCACATCTCCACAGCATGTATCCTTGATTCTTTCTATCCTGTTTCAGGCTAGCTCTTGGCCAAGACAGAGAACAAGGGGTTTGTGAAACTCCATTCAAATCATGGTGGTTGAGCAGGAACGTCACCATACCGGCACATTATTCCTAGGTCTAGAAAAATCCCACATATGAAAAATGTTGTGCACGCACTAAAAAAGCGCACAAATAAACTGTATACCATCTAAACTACATAAAATACTTTTAAAAAGAAGCCAACTAGAGAGGGAAAAGTATAAAAAGTCCGCTTAAGACGCTCGGTGCCAAAGCTTTCAGAGCTTATTAATAAGCCAAAACTTGACGCCTCCTAACCCTGGAACCTGCTACTGAGGGATGCAAGAAGCACAGATGCCGGTCTTGAGACACTGAATATGGACGCGGCTAGGGATGGATCTAGTGACAACCTGGAGCAAAGCCCGGCTCTCCCTGAGCTGGTGACACCCTATCACCGGAACGTTCTCGGTTTCTCCCTCCCACGAGCTCACATCCCGCACCCCTGGCACGGCCGTCCCGGCTTCGCCTTATCCGAGGGCGCGGGGCGCTTCGGGAGAAGCTGCTCCGTGGCCCACGCTGCCAGAGCCAGTGCCCGGCACCAGCTTCGGACCGACCTGACCCCGTGGCTGCCCGGGCCTGGGGCGCCGTCCGGAGGGCTCAGGCCTGCCCGGGCCCGGGGCGCCGAGCGGGGTCCCAGGCCCTGACGTCCCGGGGCGCCGTTCGGGACGCCGTCCGGGCCCGCAGCCTCGCCCGAGGCCGCCTGCGCGCACCTTCATGAACTCGTCCTTGTCGAAGCACAGCGTGTCCGGCCCCGAGGGCAGGTTCATCCGACGGCGCTCCATGCCGCCGGCCGCCGGCCCTCAGCGCCGCAGCGGCGAGGCGAGGACGCGGGCGGCTACGCGGGGGACGCGGCGGCCCGGCCCCTCCGCGGTCCAGAACTCACTTCCGCCAACATGGCGGCGCCTCGAGGCGGCCAATAGGCGAGCGCCTGGGGCGGCTGCGCGTGGCTCACGTCAAGAGCCGCGCGGCGGTGGCGGCGGTGGAGCTCGACTGGACAGTGCTGCCGCCTGCGGCCGCGGGCGGCACTGCAGGCTCTGGCTGCCCGCCGCGCCCTCACAGGCCTCCGGGCGGAGCCAGGCCCTGGGCCTTGTCCTGGCCGCACTGAACCGGGGTCCGCGGCGCCCGCCGGGAACCCGGGCAGTTCCCGCCAGGCACTCGGTCACAGCGGTGCGAAAGTTACCAGCGTCCCTCGGTCGTCGGTTCTCCCTCCTTCCTGTCTAGGCGGCGAGACCAGAAGGCCGGCGCTCCGCCATAGAAGTTGTCCAAGCTGCAGGCCAAGTCGTGTTTGAAGCCTCCCTTCAGCGAAGCGGTTCAGCCTGCCCCGCTCCTGCCTCAGCTCGGCTTTGCTTTGCGTTGCTTTTCTCCAAATACCAGGTTTCCTCCGTGCTTCCACCAGGTCTCTGCTCAGATGAGAGCTGAGCTTCCGACTCAGCCCCGCACAAGTTGGCTGCCCGGCCCTGGCGCTCATTCTCACACGCTCCTGCAGCCTGCTGTGCCTTTCTTTCAACACACACCAACCTCGAAGAAAACAGACACGTGTATGACAGATGGACAGACAGAGACATCTTGCTTATGATTCAGCTTTCCAATGAAATGGAGGTCCACTAGGGCCAACCGCCTTTCCCCTGTGTGAACTACTCCACCTCTGGGGGCTGCGGTGGGACAACGACTGGTGTCCTGGCTTTGCTTTTCCTCCATTATCGCCATTCCCCACACAGCTGCCAAACTGACCTTTTGAAAGCACCCAAGGAGGGCTGTCACCCACCACCCATACAGTGAAAAGCCCTTCCCTGTCTCCCCATTGTTCTAAACCCCGGCTGACTGTAAACCAGGCCCCACTGAGATTTCAGGCCTGAATCACTGAAAAGACTGTGCTGTCATAGATACCAGAGTAATTAGTTAAGTTTTTAGAGTTCCATGCCAAAATAAATGTGCTGGAAGCCTGACAGTGTCAGATTTCCTTCTCCTCTACATCTCATCTCCCACTGCCCCTTCTCCCGCCTGCCTCTCCCGCCCTCATCATCTCTGCCAGGATGACTATGCACTTTCCAATCTGCCTCCCGCCTCCAACCATCTGCCTCCTCTCCTTCTCACCCCACAGTAGTTCATTCTCTGCACAGGCTCCAAAATTCTCATCGTAGCATCCTTCTACTTACAAACCACTGTCACTGTGTTTCACCGTCTCCTCTGTGAAAGGCCGTTCTGGGTGTATACCCTGCCTCTCCCCTTTAGTAGGAAGTGACATTACAGGAATCCAAAACCAGGTGGATTGAAACAAAGGGAAGTCCATTCAAAGCAACACAAAGACATTTTCATTCCATTCACACAGACACACAAGTGACAAAAGCTAAAGAACTAGGATTTCAGGACCAGGAAACCAAGGCTCAGAGTAGGTGCCATGCCTTTTACCCGCTGTTGGTGCTGTGGGCCTGCTGGTCTTCACCAGGTTGCTTTCTCCCCCATGTCAGATCTCTTGAAGTGTCTTGGAGGATGGCCTCACAGCCCAGCACCACGGCCCCAAGGCTAGCTGCTCCTGCAGAATCCAGGGAGTGCACCTTTGCGACCATATCTAAGCAGGGAGAGGAACGAACCAGCAGACAGTCCTCCAGAGCCCTTCATTCCACTGTCCTGTCCCACCAGCAACTGGTGAGACAGCTCTTGTTAACCCCCATCTTCACCATGTTGGTGTTAATAGGTTTGTAATGGGGCCCTGTTGTTTGAATTTTATGTATCAGTTATGTATGTATCTGACTTTTTCATGTACTTAGTTGCCACCTGTGTATCCTTTACTTGTGCTGTATCCATTGAAATTTTTGCCTCATTTTTAATCTGGTTTTCTTGTTACTGAATTTTAGAAATCCTTTATAAACTTTGGATACCAATCATTTATGATTTTGCTTTGCACAAGTTTCTTCCAGTCTGTGTGTTGTCTTCTTACGCTCTTGGTTTGTTGAGATTTTTCACTTGAGAAAAGGATTCCATTGCTTTAAAAAAAAATGAAAACTGTCTTGTCATCTTGTTGGGGTTTGTCCTTCCTTCCTTCTTCCCTCCCCCTCCCTCCCTCCCTCCCTTCCTTCTTTCCTTCCTTCCTTCCTTTTTTCCTTCCTTCCTTCTTTCTTCCCTCTCTCTATCCCTCCCTTCCCTCCCTTCCTCCGTCCCTCCCTCCCACCCTCCCTCCTTCCCTCCTTCTCTCCCTCCTTCCCTCCTTCTCTCCTTCCTTCCTTCCTTCTTTCTTCCTTTTCTAAGGAGAAAAGTAAAGCTTTACTTGGATTCTATTACAGGGATAGATGAGCAGCTAGATAGTGTATTATGGCTGCTGCACCAGTATAAACTTGTGGCCAGGCTTTTGTGTGGTGACTTTGGATTTTGGTGATTACCCTTCTCCTTTTGTGTGGCCCTTGTTGATTGGTTAACTTCCAGATCATGGTTTGAATTCTCCAGTAGGAATATTTGAGGTTAAATACTCTATATGCAATAGCTAACAGTGCAGACACTGCTGGTTGCCCTGGGTCAACAACTCCTATTTTTGACACGCTCTTGGCTCTTGTTTTCAGAGGATGAGGCATAATTATGAGTCCCAGAGCAGGCTCCTGAGTTACCCTGTGGCTGCCTCTGAGCAATTGCTTCAGGTCCTGGGAACTCTGTTCTACAGCTTTCAGGATGTGAGAGATTCAAGCAGACATAGGACCCTCAATCATCTTCACAAGTGCCGTGTTCCCGTTCCTGCCTCTTTCCAAAGGTTCTTGTTCTGGACACGGAAGGATTTTGATGTCGGCAGGGGTCTTGTTGTGGCCTCCGGAAGTGGGGGAGGGGCTCTGCTGAGACGGAGCCCCTTTTGGGTTGTTTGCCAGTGGTGTCCACTGACTTGCCGGGAAGGACCTCTGAAGTAATCATGGAGCCCGGCTGCAGCACGGTTTCTCAGACAGTTATTTAGTACCAGCTGGAAGCAGACCTCAGAGTGTTGTACCCAGTGATTGTGATGGGTAATTGTTTCCCCTTGCTCTGTCCTCCTCCTGCAGCTGGTCCCTAGTGACTATGAGTGCAGGGCAGGGCCCTGGCTTCGCTTTGGGTCTCTCGGACCCTCATGGGCCAAGTTAGCAGGTGAGCCCTGTGTTAGCAGGGCTGTTATCATGTTCAAGGGGAAGCTGAGGACAGAGCGGGAGGATTGAAGGCGCAGAATGAGGACACACAGTGCTCAACACATGCACACACACAGCAAGAGGAAGACAGCTAGCTGCAAGGCAGCTTCCAGCTGGCCAGCCAGGAGGGAGAACCAGGTCTCCACATTTGTTGACATGTTGCAGGTGCCATGGCAGCCCGGTTTCCTTCATGGCTTGGTTTTCAAGGCCTCGATCCCAGCGCTAACCAGACCCTTGTATAGAGAAAGTTTGATTCCCAATCTTCTCCTCAAGGATTAGGGCTGCAGTCCCATGTGTTTGCTTTTCCCTTCCTCAACAGCTGCTCAGTCTCCACCAGCTGGGAAGCGGCTCGCTCACCCCTAGCACATGCCTCTCCCGGAAGGAGAGCCTCCCTTGGGTATTTCTGCTCATTTATTGATAAGTTAAGGGAATTTTTCCTACTGCCTGCCTCTTCCATGCTGTTACACTTCACTGCAGACATCCCATAGTCCTAAGGGGGAAGAGACCGTTTTCCTCATCCATTCCCTGTCGACTTCCTATTTTCCCCCATCGACTTCCTGTTTTCCATGTCTCTTGTTCCTCAGAAAGACCACCTAAGAAGCAAGCAAAGTCACTTTGTGCTTACAGCCAGGCTGTGACGGAAAAGCCTGTTCGTAAAATTAATAGCAGGGCATTATTTATCAACCTGTGCATTTTATTAACCTATATGTCCTGCAAAAACAAGTCCTTCAGGGCTCTCTTCCTGGCAATATGGCAATCTAATTACCCACATCATTCTTCTGCTGAAAAATAGCTGAAAAAGATTTTAAAAAATCAAAGTCCAATGAACCAGCAAGAAAGAAAATAATACACGAAGGATGGTCCATGGGCCAGCCGTAACCAAAAGATGCGAGCAATCAGCCATCAGCCTAGAAATTTTCCTGGCCATGAGTCTGAGCCCGTTTTCACCACCTCAGGGTGCTGGGGAGCAAACAAGGCAAGGGTCACCCAAGAAGGACATCCAGGGAGCCCCTCTTCACAGAGTTGAGGCTCTCATGACTGTACCCCTAGAAGAACGTGGCCTGGAACTCTGCATCCAGACACCCATATCCTTAACATGGACAGCAGACAAAACCCAAACCACTAGTCCAAAGCTGTAACCACTGGCCACACAGCCCACATGCATGTCACCTAATAAACGTGTCTACTGCTCAGAGCCTGTCATCGGCCATGCCACCACATGACTGTCACCTAACACAAACGTGTCTACTGCACAGAGCTTGTCATCCAGCCACACCACAGGGGTGTCACCTAACACTCATGTGTCTACTACACAGAGCCTGTCATCCAGCCATACCACACATGTGTCACATAACACACACGTGTCTACTGCTCAGAGCCTGTCATCGGCCATGCCACCACATGACTGTCACCTAACACAAACGTGTCTACTGCACAGAGCTTGTCATCCAGCCACACCACAGGGGTGTCACCTAACACTCATGTGTCTACTACACAGAGCCCTGTCATCCATCCACACCACAGCTATATCTTCTACACAGGGTTCTTTTGTCCAGGTAAAACAATAACAACAAAATCTCAGGCCAGCATTAGCTTTGAGGCACCTTGCAAAATCTGCACATCAGTAGCTCACAGAAAGATATAAAAAAATCTTCAAAGAAAGAAGGTACCATGAACAAATGTCAGCAGAGACAACAAACAATTCAAACAGACCTGCAGAGAC